GTAGTGTGGAACTGGGACAAAGCTATAGTATCACTGTCATTTACTGGCAAGCAGTGCTACCATGACAAATTGCATCATTTGTTGTGAAAAACCGAAATATCATTAAACACTAAAAAAGTGTGTATGTACTGAATGTTGGCAACCCAATGTAAATGTGTTTGTGTTTCACAGGTAAGCGCATCCCCGTTGCAGATGGAGCAGGAGGAACTTCAGGAAAAGGTTTCAAACTGGGACGTCAGGCCTCAGAGTCTCGCAGGACGTGCTGCTGATGATGCCGGTGACTTGTCCACACATGACCTGTGACCTGACCTTTGCTTACTCTCTGTGTCCCTGGCCTGCTTCGGCTTATGGCTCCACACGCCACGCCTCAAACACCCTCCTGTCCCTGACGCCCGGGTGCAGCAGTGTCACTCTGATGATAGTAGCAAATGTATTTTTACAGCACTTCACGGCAAATCATCTTGTATCGTCTGAAAATTGCAGGCAGGAGAAATCCTTCTTGTTCACTGAGCATTGACAAAAATACTTGCATAAATACATTCATGTGTCAGTGAAAGACCCCCATACATGCAGTTAGTCCAGCTTCTATTATGGACACCAGTCTCTGTCTGATCTATTATAGCCCTAGGTTGATCAGAGGACTCTTATCATATTCATTCAGAAGCCATTTGTACTTGTAAATTTGTACAAATCTATTACCTTTCGACCAAAAATGGACTGAAAATGGTTAAATCTCACCAAATTATTTTGATAATACTTAAGTTATTGCCTTTTGTTTTTGCTTGTTTTTTTGTTAGACTTCTCCCCAAACATTCTCACCTTCGTAAAGGATCCATCTTTATAGTTCATGTGTATAATCACTCATTTATCATGCATTTTTGATGAAAGATATTATCAGTGTTTGTACCAATCTCTCATCTCAATGTTGCCTGAAGGACAAACCCGTGAAGGATGGCGCACGCTTAATTTTAATTTCAGTGTGTGATTGCTGTTTTCATCAAGGCAAAATAACAAATGGGTGTTCTGATGTGAACCACAATCACACAGTCAAATATGCGGAAATGAAAGGTGTGTGGGAGCCTACTTCCTTTTATAATAAAGGAATAGTTCAACATTTTGGGAAATACACATACCTGTATATGTGTTATATGGTAAATATGAAATTGGAGCTAGCAGCTGGTTAGCATACCTCAACATAAAAAGAGAGCCAGGCTATCTGTACACCCCCTGTTTCTAGTCTTTATGCTAAGCTAAGCTAACTAGCTGCTGGCTGTTGCCTTATATGTAATGGTCAGATATGAGAGTGGTTTTGTTCCTATTTAACTCTCCACCACATATCGAAAAAAGCATATTACCCAAACTATTCCTTTTATTATAAACGGTTCTCTCTTTTTGTTCTGAAGGATATTTTGATCATCACTTGTCCCAGAATTAGAACCACGACTTAAAATTGTTGTAAAATTTCATTTCTGTGACGAGAACAACATCTCCCAACGTCCGTGCTTTAATCAAGGCAGAAAGAAAATGCTGACTCCACTGGTACTCTTGAAGTTGATTATACGAGAACAGTTCCAGCTGCTCACATGTGTTCCACATTTCCACTTGTAATTGCAGAAGATCTATGAACAGACTCGTGTATATGAAGTACCCCATAGTACAGAGCATCCTGCCAGTTGTTTCCAAATATTACTTGAGCGTCATTTTTCTCTAATCTCATTTTAACTGCTCACTGCTGAGCCTGCCTGTCTTCAGTCCTTTGCTGCTACTTAACAGCAGTTTTACAGGAGAAGTCGATTTTTGTGAGGTATTGCCAAATTCTTTAATTGTTCCATAAATATTTTTCGCCTTTCCTTTTTTCTTCTCCCCCCATATAATCAGCACTGGCTCACACATCCAAAGTTGTTTTACTACCTGGCTTGTGATGAAAACAATAAGATCTGGAAACAAGACCTCACTTAGAGGAAACTCAGATTGTAGAGCTTTAATCTCCCTTCAGCAGAAGGTTATAGGTGGAGATTCAGATGTGGCACTGTGTCGACATGCTGACCCCTTAATGAACCTTTGTCTCCATTCTGCTCTGAATTACTGTATTCACTTTGTTCCAAGAGCTGCTCTCTGACTTTCCTTTCTCTAACTTCTTCCGTCTTGTTCCTCTAAATTCCAGGCTCTTACCGTAGGGCCAGATTTCAATTATGATACAGTATATTACAGCTTTCACAGAGCCCTATCATCACCTCTTACATTCAAAAAAACTTATTTTTCCGTGATCCTTAAGTTCTAGCAGTCTCATTCACCTCTTATATTGGCTTAATTGAACTTTAGTAGCAGTTGATCCATGAGTGTAAACTGAATTATTAATTCTGTGTAATTTCATGCTGTATCTCACAAGCCCCTTCAGCCCCAAAACCTCTTTTCAAAGTTGCCAAAAAAATACAGATGTGGTCTTAATTAGACTGCAACTGCACATTTATAAATATGAAATGTGTGCTTTTCTGTCAGTGAAAGAAACTTTGTTTGCCTTTAAGCATCTTAAATGTAGCTGTTATTGATGAGTTCTGTGCTAAGCAGCGCTGCCTATTTTTCAGGATTTTTCCTATGGAGTGCAATAGTTGTTATTATGACAAAGGTAAAATGTGACATAATCCGAGAAATCGGTTACAGACTAATATGTTCACACAGCAAAACTTCCACTTGTGCAAACAGTCTCCAGCAGACGATAATGACGGGTTTCTATTGACCTCATTTTATGCTTATTTGATGACAGTTTTGCTCATACATACTTGATCAAATGAGCAGTGTAATGCGGCCAACCAAATCCCTTTAAAACCAGAGTGGCATTCTAGGTCATAACCTAAACTTTTAATTCACTCTGTTGTCTTTGATAATTCACCCAGCACTACATCATAATGCCAACTCTAGCAAATATTTACTAAAGCTTCAGCAATCATATTAAAAAGGGAATCACTCTGGTACTTTGAAAGCTGCACTTTTGACTGACTGTTTGCATTAATTGGCTCATATTTCTAACTAACACTCCGTCTGCAGTCTGCTAATATCTCTGTGAAATCACTTGATGAAACATTCTTGTAAAGGTGTCAGACTTTCTTAATGTCCCGTGATGTTATTTTAGGTTTTGACTGTTTGCTCAGTTCTTATTGCTGCGGAGAATGTGGTGCCAAATAATGTCAAAACCATTTTACTACATCATGCATAATTAACCTTTTTTATTGTTGATGTAATATAATGATTTAAGTACTAATCACATAAAATGCTTAAAAATATTTGAAGTTTGACAATGATGATACATGTTTTCCCCTTATTTGGAAACTGTAGGCATGGATAGTGTGTGCCAGTTTTGCATTGAAAAATACCATTAGTCTTGGGCTGGCCCTGGGAATGTGATTAATCTATATTATGTATTTTTTTCAGTGTAGATAAATACCATCAAATTGCACACAAATCAATGACTATATTCTATTCTAAGCCAGTTTTGTGACCACAATAGACGTATTCACCATTTGCAGTAATACCATCAGCACTGTAGTTACCATATTTAGCTTTTTACTACGTTTCATATTGATTGTAACAAAATGCCTGAAAACACTTGTTTGCAGTGTATTTCCGAATGTGTAAAAAGGGAATTGTCAATTGTTTACTAATAAAAGATTGACAAATATATCCTCTCTCCTCCTCTGGTCCTGCATGCAGCCTATGTGTGTGTCTGTCTCTGTGTAGTTTTGTACTCCCTTGAGTTAGGCCCAAGAGAGATGTGTGCATTAACTTTTTCCCTGGGGATACAGTGACAATGTTGTTAGTGATTGGTTGTGTTGTTCAGTTGGCAGCCAGACGCCTGGCTATATATATGAATAAGACACTTGAGATGTGCGTTTCACTGGCAGAGGGATTTTCACTGCACTTTGAATAGTGCTGAGAAGGCAGAACACTTTTTTTGACACAACTTCACTGGGGGTTTATAAGAGTGGGGACACTTATAAACCCCAGCGAAGTTGTATCTACTGTACATAGTACTGTGCAAAAGTTTTAGGAACTAAAAGTAAAGTGAAGATGCTTTCAAAAATGATCCTATGACTTTGAAGTGAAGTAAATGGAAAAACCTAAATGAAATCAATATTTGGTGGGGCCACTTCTTGTCTTTAAAACAGCACCAGTTCTCCTCAGTACACTTAGTTTTTTAGTGTATTTGGCAGGTAGGTTGTTCTATGCAACTTGCCACAGTTCTTCTGTGGATTTTACGCTTCTGCCTCTTCATGTGATCCCAGACTGACTCCCTGATACTGGGCTCTGATTAGGGCTCTTTGGGTGCCAGACCATCTGTTGCAGGACTGCTTGTTCATCTTGTCGCTGAGGATAGTCCTGCATGACTCTGGCTTTTGCAGTAGTACTGTATATAAAAAAGCCAAGTCACTTTCTCTATAAAGCATGTAAAAGTATGTGGGTGAGGGGAAATATGTCTGTAAACTATTACATCTGTAATAATTAAGGTTCTCTTTAATTTGGGGTATCAATATTATAATTAAACATTACATGGCAGTGTGGGAGCTTGTGTAAATGGGTTGCTGAGTATTGTCGAACAACTGGTAACCCAAGTAAAGGATCTGCCTTACAAGTGCTATAAAAATGTATTTTCATTACTATATTATCATTATTATCATAATTATAATAATAATTATTATTATATTGTTGTTGTTGTTATTGTTTTTATTTCTTCCACTATGATAATATTTGGTAAACTTAGATGCTGAAGTCTTTGGTCAGAAATGACAACCTTCATGTTTTAGCCACTTCCTTGCACTCAAATATCGCACATTGAGGTTTCCTATAAACTGAGGTGGTGGCCCCAACTAGCCCTGGGTGCACCCTGGCATCACCCATCATCACCCATCATCACCCTGCTTCAACCCCCACCCCTCTCTCTTTCTCTGCAGAGGCAGTGACGTCACCGGGCTGTCTCTCACTCCCTTCCTGCTGCATCACAACAGCCGTTAGCAGCTCGAGTAGCACCAGTGACCGGGGGGGGACAGGATCAGGATATCCACCGCTAATTCATTGATAAAATAACTCCGTGGACGTTGCAGCACTTAATAACATCCTAACACGGGGGTAACCGATAGGAACTGGTTGCAGTGCGATAACCCCGCTCCAGCTGTTGGGATATGGCCAGGCCGGAACAGGTTCTGCTCTTGGAGCCTCAGCACGAACTGAAATTCAGAGGTAAGAGAGGGGAGGGCCCGGCTTTGGACGGGAGAGGGGGGGGAACCGCCTCTGCCAGCAGGGTTAGGCGCAGGGGCGGAAGGGGGACAGGCCAGCATTACGGTAACCAAACTGGAGAGAAGCTGCAGTACACATTTTGATAATATTACCCTCGTATGAAAAGAGCAAGACTGCTCTGAGAGGACGGCAGGTCAACTGACAGCTAGCTAGCTGGATTAGCTTCCAACGGCTAAGCTAGCCAGGCCCTGTCATGCATTCATTCTGCAACCGCTAACACAGGCTCCAAGTGCAAGACAAGGAACATATGTCCACTGGGAAATAGTAATAATAATAAACATATCACAATATAATTGCCCTCTAAATCATTACCTTTCATTGCTCGCAAGCTGCAACATCCTTAGCAGGTCTGGCTAGCTGATATTAGCTCTCTGCTCTGTTGGACAGCCAGCTGTCATTTAATAACTCGACAGCTGATAACTGCAACCTTTGCTGCTTCATATGTTATAGCTACAGGTCATCAACGTGCTCATCGTTTGGGCTCTACAGTCGCTAATAGACATTTGAGTTAAGCTTGGTATTTGGCTGCAACATGTCACGTTGCTTTAGGCCCAAATAATGTTACATAAACACATATGGTAATATTGTATTTGTAGAAGATTATAGACATCCTGATACGATTTGAAATACTGTACCCTGAATTTAAGATTAAGAAGCTTCATAATTTCACAAAATTTTTAATAGTTTTGAGGTAAGCCTCAAAGCACAGTCAAACTTTTATTCTTATAAGGAGTGGGATTTGGAGACATCGAAGCTGCAGCAAATGATTGTTAATCTGCATATTATTTTTTTAGATTAATCGTTTGGTTGTTTTGTTTATAAAATGCCAAAAATTGGCTGTTATACTTTCCCTAAGACTAGAGAGGTCATCACTGTACACATGCACACAATAGCAACAAGAATGCGTGTTGACACTAGTATCAACACTTAAAACAAAACTTTGTATTGCTAGTATTCATGCTTTGGGGATTCATTCGCCTACCCCTAATGTTTGGGTTGTGAAGCCCAAAGTAACCAAAGAATACACTTTCAACAAATCCATCAGCACCAAAAAGTGATGCCTCTGTTTGTCACAAAAGCCAGTGAGCGTCACTGTTGCTGGATGAGCTTCAGCAATCAGCTTCAGACCTGGGTTGGGGTTGAAAACCCATATATGGACATTTTCGCTATTTAGAAATAAAGCAGCTTCCTGGAAACCCATGAAATTATTATTTATAGGTGGATTTGTAATTGACACACATGCTTGCTTTGCATAATTTTTTTAACCATACGCCACCTTTGACAGATGTCTTTCAACTCTGGCAGCTAACATGATACATTCCAGTGAGAAACAGCAGCCGGTAGCAGTTATAATGCTACACGAGGCCATTCACAAAGTTAGCTCCACAGGTAAAGAGAAATTACCTTTATGTGTCGAGAAACATCAACTGGTAGCATGGGTTAAACATACTGTTAACATTAAAAAAAAAAAAAGGTTGTCATGCGATTTGCTTGCTGCACAAGGCGAGAGCACTAGTGTGATCATTCTGGTTATCATATTTGTCACAGTACTATGTAATGTATGAAAATCCTGCTCTTTCCTCAAAATATACCAGGCACTGGATATATACCAGATAATGCAAAAACTCACATTAGAAATGACTGTGGTGTAAACAGGTAGTGCTTCACTCCTGACAAACTGTGCCAATCCAAGATTTAATCAGTATTATTGATCAGCCACATGAAAAGAGACTGCATGACTGTTTTATAATTTTATGGAAAATTGTAAGCATAACAATGTGATGCATTTTTCATCCAGAGCCATCACTCTGATCTTCTATCAGGTATCACCGATTCCCAAATGGAAACTCTAAACGCATGTCATAGACACACAAGATAGAGCCTGAGCAATATTCATTACACAACCTTAGACACAAAGTAACAGTGTGAGCTGTCTTACCTTAAAACTGGTGTTTATCCCTGCAGTTTCAGTGTAAGACCATCCACAACCTTCATAAAATCCAGAAGCTGTGACCAGATCACTGGAGCTAACAGCTAATTCTGCATTCTGAGCTAACCGGCAGGTTTCTGTCGTGAGATAATGAACATTTTCCACTCATTGCCTCTGGGATTTGTGCAGATTTAGGCACAAAAACAGCCTTTCATGTTGACCTCCTCATAAGCTCTTAATCATTTTGGGTCGTTTTGTACCCCATGCCTGAGAGCGTATCGCACAGATGATAAAACTTCGGAACCCGTGTATGTGTTTGGGTTTTTTGGCTGGAAATTGGGATGGACATTATTCACAATGTTCGGACATTTTCAAACGACTCATAGATTAATGGAAGTAATTAGTTGATAATAAAAATCATTTTTAATTGCAGCCCTGTAATAGCTCTTCATAACAGTATGCAACACATTAAGCTGCTGTTATGCTAAAGCTGCCTGTGTGTTGAGTGTCTGAGTTGTATCAAAAGATCACAGGTTCAGAGTCCACTATGAGCTTGTGAATTGCGTAATATTCAACAAGTCGTTCTATATAAATATATTTTAAATAGTCTCTGGACACCTATGTCATAGGGGAATAAGTTACTGTATATCAGGTGTTGGATGCACAGGCAGTACTTGTTAGTATGACCAGTGTATTGTTGGTTATGGTCTTTTCATGGGATTTGTTGACAATAAAAAAAAATAAGAAATACCAGCATGAGGCAGAAGCACTGTTGCTATGGTTACTTGTAGTTTAATCTTGTACACTGACTTGTGATGAAACTGTTGACAGTTAGCATGTTTGAGGTGTCCTGTTGTATGAGTTTAATGGAAACATCAGTTAAATGAATTTTAGTCCCTCTAGGAAACTGGATATTGACAAATCTTTATATTTTTCACATAGCTACACCATCATTTCCGTATTTTCTTATTAAGTCAAATATAACGAGTGGGTACAACTTACACTTTCTCCATTTCCCTTATAATTTGGACCAAATTACGAAGCCTTTCTTGGAAACAGCTAAATAAATTTACAGCTAAATGCAAGCTAGTTTTTAGGAAATTATGAGGAAAGATTCTAGGAAATTAGCTAGGGGTCCCATTAGACAACATGGGACCTCTAAAATAAACCCTTACCAGCGTGTTATACAAACAAAGATAATATGTCAAATCAGATGTGTTGTGTGTTAGACAGACAGAAAGAACTATGTGTTTTGCTCTATATAGTAGACAATACCACAAATCACATGCCTATGCTCAGGCCCCAAGTAATATGTAGGCACGCAGTGTGAAATAGGCAGTAGGTCTGTTAGTAGCAACTTGTCAGGCCTTGGCTCAGACCATCTGTGGACCAAATACTCAAATGTTAGGCTCTGGACTTTTTCATTAATTTTCATCTTCGTCCTGGGTAATATTAACAAATCTTTACAAAAATCTCCCAGCGCCCCACTTTTTATGTGCTATTTATAAAATCCAACCTTAAAAGACAACAGTTTCAAGTATCAGTTCTTCGTAATAGTTTTTTACTGCCACTTGTGGTTTTCGTGAGTTGGACGGTGTCCCAAGAAACTTTCAGGAAGTAGTAGATCAGGTGTACAGTAGTCGGTGGCGTGAGTCCCTTTCATTAAAAGTCTTTAGATGTTAAGCCAGGCTTGTGAGAGTCTGAATTTCCTCTCTGTTTTTGCTCAACGGGTAAGGGAAGTGTCAGTTGCTCTGGATGTTTGCTGAACTGAAACTTTATCTTCAATCTGGTGTATGTGCTAATTCTGAAATAGCTCCATGTTTCTCCATGCAGCACAAGTGTGCTTCTCACAACTGCAAACTGTATCCTCACTATAGTAGCTGCTGTAGAGGCCCTGTTTGTTGTTTCATTAGAAAACTGCACTTGATTAGAAAACTTGGCCTTACCAAGTGGTGGGGTTTGTAATGTTGTATAAGACCACAAGTTAAAATATTATTTGATTAAATGGAAGTTGGTCAACAAATGCTGTCTTCACTGTCAACACTTAAGAAGTCAGGAGTTGTGCTTTTCCTAAAAATACTTTCACTGCTACAGCAGCTTGAAAAACATCACCAGACCAACAATGTTTCAAAACCCAAATCAGCCCATACTCATGTGTCTGTTCATGATGTGTATGATAATTAGACATCTTAATATCCTGCAGCAAAGTAACAAAAATCATTGGCTGCAAATAATTTTTTGCCTCCTTTTAGACATAGCATAATTTATGAAAAATGTTTATTTTATATGGTTTTTAACGATACTGTAAAGTTCTAAAATGAAACTTGGTTTCCGTAAGTCTGACTGTAAAATGTAAAATGTGTGGTATTGGCACTGTATCCTCTAAGTTTGGGAAGTCGTACGTTCTTTCGTCATTGCCCCTCACTTGACTATGAATTAGCTTTGCTTTCACTCGAGGTAGTGGAAAAATACAGGAGTGACTAACACTTGCCAGTTAGCTACCTGGATACATTTCACTTTATCGGTTCTGGAGTGTCCTGTCAATAAAGAAACTGTTGCCAGTAATAACAGGAGTACATTAATTACATGTAACACTGGTTTTGTGAGAAGGCATGTAAGTAATACACAGAATGGGATTTGTTGGAATTAAACTATGAATATCTGGCCAGTGGTACACTTGCTATGATATGTGTAATGTATCGATAATTTTAGAGAAGACTTATTGGAGTCTGGGCTTTCTACAGGGGCAGTGCATTAGCCAGATTAGGTTCACACTTTTCGGTACTGTTCTTACCGTACTCATACTAGAGCTCTTATCCCCAACACATTTTAGTTTTCTGTTAATGTCATTACCAGTGAAGTGAAAAGAAAACCTTACATCAAAGTGGAAATTCAGTCACTTCATTCATCATTTTAGGATGAATCAGAGTGTGAGGTGCTGCTTTCTGTCGTGGTGGGTATTACATGTGAGTGCAATAACTATACTTCTTAATCTATCTGGTGCCTTTGGACCTCTGAATCGTTGCCCACATGTAATATCTTTTTTCAGCAATTTCAAATAGGTCTGGTGCATTTCTCATTGATGGCTGACATATGTGGATGAGATTGAAATCAGCTGCACAGATTGTTTTAAGTCAGTTTATAGAAATAACAACTCTTAAATCTGCATATTTATTCAACTGACCTGAAAAACATGAACCTGTCAATTGCTACTGCCTTCAAATTGAGCAAAAATAACACTAACAGGAGAGATACGTTAGTAAGTGGTTTTACATCCACCTGTTGTTATGTTCATTTTCAATTTGCTAATAATAAAAAATGCTGGAAATTTGGAAAACGCTTGAAATATTGCATTTTTATAATTTTTATGCTTGGTTTAAGTGGAAGAGTTAACTCATATGTTCACTGAAGATACTACTCCAATGAAGAGACTGAAAATAATAGCAGACGAAAACATAAGATCTGTGCGGAGTGATATTAGACTGTTATGTCACCTGACTGGAGAATCTGTGCCACCAGCTGTTAATCTTGAAGAAAGCAACTTCTAACATTTGCACAACAGCAGTGGATGGAAACGTGCATTAATTTGCATTTTCTTCAGCCAAATTTCTTGAAATATTTCAAATAATTTGGAACCTCTCCATTATTTGAGCTGAAATTTCCTGTTTTGTCTATAATTAATCACTATTTACTGATATAGCCATCTGCTCTCATGTCACTGAGGCTGTGGTAGCCAGTGTACAGATGATATAAATTTGTTTTTGTTTACAGAAAACAGAAGTTGATATAGACAATAGGTTGTTGCAAAGAAATATGATACAGGAAAATAATGGAGGAGGCAGAGTGGAAAACTTCTAAAATAACAAACAAAATTAGAGTTCCCTCCATTAAGTCAAATGTTTTGCTGTATCAAGACACTGCAGTTGTTGTGATCACTGCAATAGTATGGACACTTGAAGAAGAAATAAAGGGGGGGGGGGGCTGTTAACTCTTTAAGCCAGTCATGAATATTCTTTGAAGACTGTACCTGCTCGACTGAGCTCGTGTATTATCCATTTAGCAGGTAACATGAACAGTACAAGTTTAAAAGCTAACAAAGCTGCCAAAAAGCCTGTCTCTTAGAAATTATGTGCGTGTGTTTTGGTTAAATGTAAATAAACACGTTGTGTCTGAAGCCAATGTGAGCTTTTTTCTGTATGAGAGACCTCAGTCTTTCCCTCACCAAGTGTGCCTGAACATGGACAATTTACTGATAAGGTCAAATATGTAAATTAACAACATATCCTCATCATGATAACATAAAATGTAATCCAGTCACAGTTTTTAGGACACAGTGTTGCCTACTGACACCTGTGGCTGTCTCTGCTGGTCACACGCCCCCCTGCCTTGCAGGTCGTCCTAAACCCTCAAGAGTCTCAATTGCTAGGCTACTTGGCTAATGTTTATATAGCTATCTAAGTTATCAGCTACCATTAGTCCCACTAACCTTTGATAATGTGATGATAATAACAGCAATAATCAAACAGTATAACTGAGGCTGAAGGGAATTCAGGGGTTCTCAGACTTTCATGATTTCACACATTCACATTCCTCTGGGATTCTGGGGGATTTCCAGCAAAGTCTAATTTTCTGTCTGTTCACAAACTTAACACTCCTTGCTGATATCTCCACTTCTTTACGTAGTGATGAATCATTTTGGGTTTAACCATCAAATATCACATTACTGACATTGTCAAAACTGGACCCCAGACAGCACGTTACCAACAAATGCATGCAGTTAGAAGTTTATTAGTTACACATTAAAATTAATGCAGTCTCGTATAACTGTCCTGCATTAAATCCTACCTTCAAGAAGGTTATAATGTTTTAGAGAGGTGGTGATTGAACAACTTTATAGTTATTTTGCGGGCTGTAGTATGATGCAGATTATATTGCATCATACTTGGAATACTGTTCCTAATATTATGGCCAACCTCTTTATATTAGAGTAAATTAAATGATATAAACTTCTCTCATTATATACTTCAACAGCATCACAAACTGCAGCCTCCATACAGTTGAATCAACACCTCTCTAAAACAGCTGAACATTATAACCTTCATAAAGGGAGGGTATATTTCATGGCTTGTGGATTAGACCACATTAGTTTTACCTAGCTGTACCTAATAAACTGGCAACTGAGTGTATGCAATTCCTATACTGAGAGATCCTTAACTATACCATAGTTATGAATAGCAGGGCTAAATGGGTGATTTGACACAGCTACTGTATGTGAACTCGCTGGTTATTCCCATGCCTCCCCCACTTTCCCCTCCTTCATGTCCTCATTTCTCTTTACTCCCTCAACCTCAGACATTACTCAAACTTGAGCATTGCCTTGACAACCATATAATTTTCAAAACCAATAGAAATTATTAGATACTAATTGGACTTAGTTGCTGTCCACCAAAGTTTATGGCTTTTTAAAGACGCTAAGACCAGAAAAATATGTCAAAACACCAATTTAAAGACATGAATGAAATGACCAATTTTTGAAAATGAACTGAAAGCTATCTTAACTTACTCCATTAAAAATACACTGACAGTCTTATCCTGCATTGTGGATGGATAAGATTTGGCACAGTGTTACTATGCTGTGGCTTTTGTTGTAAATGTTTTCTGCATTATTGACGAATCTGTAGAGCAGCTTAATGCATCTGGCCTTGTGAGAGCCTCAGTGAGATGTGGCCTGCATCAACAATGATAGCTGTAATTAGTTAAAGCCAAACTGCATCAGCTACTCTGCTCATGGTAGTGCAGTAGTTGAAGTCTGTGATTTATAGATTTGTACACACAGTTTATTCTTTAAAGGTTTAAAATGTTATTCTTTGTAAATTGATACTAGAACTCTTTTTCTTTATCAAGAGGACAGATGAGGCATCAGTTGTCATATATTTACAGTAGCGCAGCTCTCGCTATGCTGTGCTACTAAGACACAATATTTGGGACTTTAATGCGAGAAACAGATTGGAATTATTTATCTTGAGGACAGCTTCAAGTCAAACGTTTTAAAAACCTGCAGTAGTTGAATTGGCAGTAAAACCATGTTTATCCGAATGTCAGATCAAATAAAGAAAATATTTGGAAGAAGATCCAAACTCTGGGTAGCAGACAGAATTTGTTATAATTAAAGTCAAATCCAGTAAAGCTTTGGTAGACCACATTTAAATGTGGTAGCATACATGTCACATATTTTTTATAGTCTTTGCCCAATGGTATTTCAGTCAGCTAATTTATCTAAACATTCCCATTGTTTAAAAAGCTCTGATTAGCCTTAGTATGCTTTGTGTACACAGTACAATAGTGTGTTTTTGGTAGAATCAGTGTTTTATATTTAGTTGATGTTTTTAAATTTGATCTTTTATTGTGACAAAAAACTGTCTCAATGTTAGTGCTGCCATATATTAAGAGCTGCAACAATTATTTGACATATATGACATCTGCTCAATAAAATTAAGCTTCCACTCTACACTCTTCTTTGTTGTCAGTTTAAGACATGATGTTTAAAATAAAATATTAAGAACTATGTCTACCTGAAGCTAACTGTTTATTTTTCTTTTCTCTCTAACTATTGTTTTTTTTTTCTTCCTGGTGCTTTTTCCGCAGCAGTGTATGATGGATTTGCATTTTGATGTATTTTGATCAGTTCACTTAGGGAAACTCATTTGATTTGGTTTGTATGTCATTTTTTTCACTGCGCAGGTTACACACATTATGTGCTTGTTTGAGTTTGTATTCATTCACCATCAGTCATGTACATGTGTTGTTTTCTTCTTCCATTTGGCATTCAAACAATTGCGTGAGATCAGTGTCTTTGAGGGAGTGTCTTTGGCTAACATCAACATTTAAATGGATCTCTGTCCAGTTTTAAATGAGATAACTGATTTGTTGCCATTTTCTGTAACTTGTATAGTTTACGTTTTGTCCCCCTTTTTCCTGTTTCAGTCTTTGATAATCCTTAAAGATTGCACTCTTTAGAGGACATTATATATAATTGTCAAAGAGAACATAGAGATCTTTTCCTGAACTACCCCAAAAACTGATTTTTAAGTGTCCACCTTGTCTCGCTTCTTCACAGGTCCATTCTCAGACGTGGTCACCACAAATCTCAAGCTCTCCAACCCAACAGACAGGAATGTGTGTTTCAAGGTGAAGACAACAGCACCGCGCCGGTACTGTGTGCGGCCAAACAGCGGAATCATCGATGCAGGCACCTCAATCAACGTATCAGGTAAAAAATGAGGAAACTGAGGCATGAAAGTAGTGTAAAGCAAGTAGTCTTCCAGATAACTTTATTTACTTACTTATTTACCTATAGGCAACTTAAGCATGTTGCTGCTACTGTTGCTGAAACAATTAGTCAGTCACTAGAAATTTGACAGTCACTAGAAATTTGACAGGTTAGATAATCTGTCTTTATCGGATGAAATACAAAACATTTGCTTGTTACAGTTTCTTGGACATGAGGATCTTTTTTCTGTATACATCTTTTTCATTGTAGGTCTAGACTACAAGATTGATAATGAAAATAATCATGAGTTGCAGCCTTAGTCATTACAGCAGGGACTTATGAGACTGAATATCTGAGTACATCTGACTGTGGATTTATTTGTGTCTTAATTAAAATAAAATACAAGTATATGTGAGAATGGCTCAGTGTAAGGAAGGAAGGCCAACTATTATCTCCCTCCTATCCTATATGGGTATTTTCTTTTTACATAAACACCCACACTTCTTCTTCCCCTTTACGAAGTATCCCCTTGTCGTCTCAAGTCTCTCCTGGCAGGCCTTATTCTCAGTCATACACTTGGAGGGAGACAGGTACAGTCTAATGTTTCCACCCTGTGCCTCCTCTGCCATTTACAGCCACGGACTCATTTTACAACCTCTCCTATCTGGTGTCAACAACTGCAAAGTGTGTCAGTGGGGCCTGCTGTCAGCAGTGGGTGAAAAATCAGCACATCCACTCTGTCAGTCGCCGTCACAGATTTGAGTCCCAAAAGAAGAGTGCTTTTCTGAGAAGGTAGTCAAATGCAGTCAAATGTAGTCGGCAAGCATGTAGGCACGGTCTGTAACCTCTTTCTGTCCAATCTGTCTTCAGGGAGAACTCAAGTACTCAAGGTTGACTTTTGTTATAGTAACATTGCATTATAGCTGAAGTACCCTGTGGGTACTAGTGCGTACGCAGGAGGATGCAGGTGATGCCATACCCAGTCCTGCCAGTGGATTCACACTATTCCAGTGATCATCAGGAGGTGGTAAAATACAGCAATGCACCAGCAAAAGCAGTGAAGAAGAAGACTGTAAGCAGATAAACATGGACAATCCAGGTTTCAAAATGCAGCATTCAAGTATCGGATTTGCTACTGTTTTTATACGGAAGGAAATGTTAGACCTCAAAGATACACACAATGATTTTTGTGTAACACTGAATATAAACACAACTTTTGTTTGTTTTCAAGACAACTCCACGGGGCAACGCTGCCTTGTTCTTTCTTCCTGGTCTTAAAAGCTGCATGACTGCTAATTGTTGAAAATCTCACAACACATGGGACAGGTTTAGCTGAGTGAAATAAAACCCTTCTTGGTTGTCTTACCAACATTATTAATAAAAATGTTCTTGTTTTAAAGATATTCTGAAAGCACAAATAGTCCTTCCCGAAATAACATCATCCATACTGAGGTATTCAGGCAAAAGTATTGTTATACTGAGTGTTTGTGAGGACAGGGTCTGTAATTTGCTGTGGTTCAGTTTGTCTCATTTTTGACCTGCAATTTTTTTAACAGAGCAGCACAAAAGCTACGTAGACATGCACTCTACTCGAGGTGAGAGAGAACTGTCTGCCACAGGATACCTACAAACCCAAGATGTGTCATCTGCTGGCTTAGCTGAGGATAGACACAGTGCTTTTGAAGCTCAACCCTGCTGTAACTTTATATGTAGAATGTAGCCGAGACCACAGGAATGTTGCTGAGCTTGATTGGTGTTATGTAGCAGCATCCAGTGGAAAAATATGTGGCGTGAATGTTTCAAAAATCCTTGTGTCCACAAATATTGAGCTTCTTCTGGGAACATGTCAGACATTTGTCTGACATGTTTGGTTCGTATTATCATTCCAAGAGAGTCAGAAAGCAAGTATACCGCATTAAAAAATAACTATTCTTTTGTTGCAGTTATCAGTATAAGCTTCTTTAGCACATCCATATTCATGTTCATATGCCACACAAAGGGTGTCTTCCAACATTCACAAGTAACTATGTGCTGCTGTCACATTTTCATGCTGCAGTTAATGTGGCCAAAAACATCACAGTAAACTGTATTATCATAGAACTGATCAAACTTTCCTGATATACTACTATTAGTGCTGAAATGTAGTAAAATTACTTCATACCACAATGTCTTTGCATTCAATCAAACCAAACAAACTGAACAGTGAAATGTATCTTGCAGCTTTGTTGGACAAACATCAAATACACTAAAACGCCCTAAACAAAAGCAGGTTGTTTGTTTAAAGTTAAATACATTTGATTGGAAATCGCTTCAAATGCACCATATGTGATTCTATACATGCACCCATTTATGTTTTCATACATGTAAATAGTTATAAAGAGCCAAAGAATCCTGTACACTGATGATCATTTGTACTTTATTTACAACTTTTATGGCCCTCAGACCTTCATGAGGCAAAATGCTAATGCTTTAGAACATGATTGCGATGTACCACAGGACTGTTGTCAGAGAGACAGCCAGAGTTGAAGCTCCCATGTGAGGAAGAACATAATTTGCCCAATTTTGACACAGGGAGTTTCCTCTTTGTCAGTCATGTAAGATGTGGCTCTCAGTGATCGTCTGTCAACAAGCTGATGTTAGCATAGCAAGTCATATGGAGTGTAGCTAGAGCTAGACAGACAAGAAACCTGGTTCACTGGTGCTGCTGTTTGGCTGATTAAAAACACACTAAACAAAATAAAACCTTTAATAAAAGACAGGAGCCTTCTGAAAATGAAAATAATCAATTGCGGTAAAAGTAAAAGTGGTGTAGTAATGCTGTATGTACATCTCCATTTTCCAACTTCATTTGCTATTTTACCCAGCAACAACATTCTTATAACAGGACTTGACATCTGAGTAGTAGCAGATTCCTTCAAAAGTGTGGTGGATTGAAGTGCTGGTGAATGGTGGGTTATTTCCCATCCTGTAATAAGCCTGGTGGTATATAGTCAGTACCTTTTTTTCTTTTTGAATTATATTGAATAAGAAGGACCCAGGAGAACACGCTCAGGAGTGTGAGACCCCGCTTCCCTGAGAAGCCTGAATATGAATACGTTTTATGAGTGTTTGCTGTTACATGTCGGCAAGTATTCCCTCTGGACCTGTATCTGGACAGCTATGCTTGACTTCACTCTCTTCCCCGCTCCCACGCTATATTGTCTCAGTAGGTTTGCTGATCTTTGACCAGGTTTTTATGTTGAGTAATACTGAACAAAGTGGACAGGAAACACCCTTTTACACGTAAGGCTTCTCTGAATGGCTTCTCTGAATGGTGTGAAAAGGTCACTGATACTGAGCTGTATGGTGTCATGTGTCATGTCATGTCTCATTTCATATCATGTTGTGTCATAATGTTCAGTTAAAGTAAAGTAAAGACTGACAAGTGGTGAATTTATCTCATATTATTGTCTGTATATTTTCAAATATAGCTTTTGTTTTGTGTTACATGCTGCTGAGAATTCACCTTCAATGGGTCAGGGAAATGCTGAAGTCTCATGTTTTATACTTTTTTTGAAGCTAAGTGACATAATATGTGCTACATGGCACCATAGTTTTTAAACTGAACTGAGTGATGAATGTCTTTGTTGTTAAACCCATAGCTAAAGAGTGGTGATGAAACATAAATTTGATTAAACAAATTAAACCAAACTATTTTGATAATTGATTGAAGGTTCAAGTAATTTTTCAAGCAAAAAATACCAAACCTTCATTCCAGCCTCTTAGTTCTGCTTTTGTCTGTTTTTATAAAACTGTAAATGGACAGTTAATTTGTTAATAAAGATAACAGCTGTTTTTTTTGTTTTTTTTAAATTCAGATTAAATGATCATGTATACCATACTATAAAGAATCTGCAGGCTTAACCCTTACCTCTGTAAGTTCTCCAGGGTAAAAAGTTAGCGGTAATTCTGTTGTGAGCGTCTTGTCCCGTGTGAAATAGTTAATTAGTGACAGGAAAGGAAAGTTTTCTTACCCCCCTCCCTCACCCTTCGTTCCATTCATCATCAACAAGCAGGCAGGCGATTACCATCCTGCTTGACCATCATGTTAACTACAATTAGCCTTTGTAAGTGTTATTAATGACTGTCCAACATAAAGTGAGAATACTAAATCACGCCATTAGCAGAAGTAGCTTTTTGCAAAGGTGTGTTCAAAGGCTGTAAATCAAAGATAAATTTTATCATTTTTTCCCCTACTGTGGAAATGTCTTTTTCATCTCAGGCTTTGGCTCAGGACCTTTTTATGTTGCTCAAAGAACTTACATGCTTTCCTGCCTCCATTCTCTATTATTGTCCCCTTGGACCCTAAGGTAGATGGCCGTGCAAATTGGGTCTGACTGAAACAGGACGTTCTCAATCTGTTCGTGCCGTCTGTTTCTGGTTTGCGATATTGAACTGCCCTGATTGCTGTAATGGTGCACTACATCTCTGAGGTTTTCCACTCTAGGGAGAATTGGCATGTGCCATATATGAAAACCATCCTGATAGCTACACCGGCTTTGAAATTAGGAGGTCATTTGTTTCTTGTCAAAGCCAAAGAATCATGCCAGCATTGCAGACATAGTTGGTACTGATGTCAAAATATGTCTTTGAATTACACCTCATTTAAAAGAGGACAAAAAGATCAGCCATCAATAGACATTTTCATCAGCTCTGCACTTCCAGCCCACTTAACTTGAACGCTGACATGAAAAAGTGATTGTAAATCATCGTTGCAGTTCTAAAATACCTTCTCAGTCATTGGAATGACATCAAATAACACACCATAGGCTGAAGCGACTGATGTGGTGATGGGTTAAAGTTGTATTCCAACTCCACACCTGCTTTTTGTTAGAGTGATATGTAATGTTAAGAAAGAAAAAGGCAGGGTTGGAAGCTGTTAGCAAGATTACCCCCTTGGGAATTTGTAGATCTGTCAGTGTTTCGCCGTCATGGTAACACGAACATAGAAATAAATCATCTCCACCACGTTTTTTTTTTTTTTTTTCCAAGCAGCAGGGGCAAGCCCAGTTTCTTGAAGACGTGGAGGCCTTAGTTTACTGTTTGACAAATACATGTGTATTTGATCCTTACTAATTCCTCTTAAATCTGAGGAGCCAACACAAGAGTTTAGAAAGGGAAAGAGATGGAAAGTTGCTGACAACGAAGAAGGAAGAGCCTAATTGCTGGTGCTCTGTAAGTGTTCGTACTTGGGACAGAAGATTTTTTTTTTTGTCATTGAGATTCACCCACAAATCATGTTGCATTCTTGTGTGTCTGCTGCAATTTGGATGATACTAATAAGACATTTTTTACACTTTTTCCTGAGTCTCCTGATGATGAGGTTTAAAATAGGGGGAAATAAAATTAGGGTAGTAACTACAAAGCAAAATTATAATACTAATTCTGTGTTGGGACTTCCTGATCACCTTTGTCACTTATCATCCCTATGTTTTCTGTCACTCCTAATTTTAGCTGTTAACTACAGACAAATAAATAAGGATTTTCTCCACAAATATTTTCACAAAAATAAGCAAAGATTAGAGAATAGTCTGAAAAAAATAAAGAACAATATAACAGAACAATATAGTCTGATCTATCTTTGGAGCCCTTGGATGGGTCCCAACCCCAGAACTACTGCCCTTAAGTATTATTTTATTAATCCTACAGAGCCTACAGATTTGCTGTGATTTCATAGCATGCTCTTAACATTTCTTTTCATAATAGCAAAGAAGAAAATCCTGAAATCTTTACGTCAGGTGCATAGGACATATGTTTTCCTCCCTATGCTGACACAGATCATTTTGTATTTCAGTTATGCTGCAGCCTTTTGACTACGACCCCAATGAGAAGAGCAAACACAAGTTCATGGTCCAGTCCATGTTAGCGCCTCCTGACATGACTGACATGGAGGGAGTGGTGAGTGTGTCTCATCTTCTTGAAATTATTTTTCACCATCATTCACTGTATATATAGGTCTTGAAAAGCATTGAAATGCAAGAAAGTATTGAACCGTATTACAAATGTTACAAAGGTGTTTAATATCTTTTCTTGCCTGCGACAGTCAGGAGATGTTATACATCACAACAAGTGAGACTGGTGTCACAGTGGATTGTTCATGCAGGAGGCTTTTTCATCGTTTTTTATGGAGTTAATATGCATTATTACTACTAGTGTTATCCACAGTAGGAAGGGAGTTCATCAACTCATAATGGGCAAGTGTCAGTTTTAGATTACATCTAATTTAGTGAACACTGCAGAAACTCTGATGAGTGTGTGCAAAGAATTTCTCGCAGGGGCAGACCCTTAACAGCACAGGAAATATATCCAATGAATGTAACATTAAGGAAAGAGGTGGTTGATTTGCATCTCCCCGCCTGGATGAGAGCCTGCATCGCAGTGCTGACACACAGCAATAAAAAACACAATGAACGCAGTTTAGTCATAACAGCATGTGTGGTCTCGAAGTCATCTCTGTAGTCACTGGCCAACATACATACAGTAAATCATCACTAATATGCTAACAATGGTTTTAAGAATTTGGTATGCTATTGTGGCACACACACACACACACACACACACAGACACACACACACAACCTGAGCAACGATTACAAAAGAGACACTGTACTGAGGCAGAGCCTGAACCCCAGTGGGGTATTGTGCAAGTCTGTGATTGTAACAGAGGTTAGACTTGAAAGCAGATTTTTGAAGTTGGATTTTAAGAGGAGCACAACAGAGAGAGAGTGCAGTCCTCCTGGTGGTAAATTTCTGTCCATTGTTGTTTCACACGAGATGTGGAGCCGGGAAACAATGGACAGAGTAGATCTCCCTGATAACAGTCCAGCTGTTGATGAAAATGTGAAAAATGCACATTGAGGATCACAGTCACATTTATAGCCACTGCCTGAATGAGAAGTAATTACAAGTATTTAAACAGCATTTTGCAGTTGTGGTGTACGTTTACGGCTTAACTTTACCACTTTTCCTCTGAAGAAATTTCCATTTGGTGTGGGATTCGAACAGGCAACCTTGGGATTGCAAACCTTTAAGGGTTTTTTTCTAAACATCAGGCTTCTGCCACCCAGTGTGAACAACAGCAAGATTGGCAAACTTTACATTTAACCCCTTGGACTGTCTGATAGGGGCTAACATATTCTAGAAAACTTAATTATGAAATTATTTTTTTCCCCCTCTTTTTGAGAACATGCATATCCTATCATTATCTAAAATTGACCTTTCAGTGTCATAGAAAACATCCATACAACATCCATTGTCTTACACTTAATGACTCTAAAGTGTCCCAATTGTTCTTACTGGTTTTCTGTCAGTCTTTGCCCAGTATGACTGTGAAAACAGTATTAAATTGCGTTCTAAGTGGTATTAAAAAGGTCTTCAAATGTGGGACCACTACAGAAACCCTGTTTAAACATGTAACATTGAAAGATAGATTTACAAATGTTGCTGTTACTCCAGTTTGGTTTTGGATTTTTCACCAACCATTGCAATCTTCACTTTTACCTCAATCACATGAATCCAGTGGAAGGAGGCTAAGCCAGAGGAGCTGATGGACTCCAAGCTGAGGTGTGTTTTTGAGATGCCAGTGGAGAACGAAAAAACGGTAAGCACATGCTCTTGCTCCTCTCCTCTATTTGTCGGACCATGTTGGTTTTTGTTGTCACTACAGATTGGATATCAAAGAGACTACATCTCATTGCCAAACTAATTTTAATTCTTTTTAATTCTTTATTTATCATGCTGTTGGTTTTCATCAAATGTAACAGAATTACTTTAATGCTTCTTTCTGTACAGTACAACATTTCTTTAATATTTGTCCCAAGGAGGTTCTACATTATTTATAGGGTACAATGTTTATTATTGTTTTCCAGCACTCTGCTGCTGTATCTGCGTTCTCTTTCTCTGCCTTTGTCTCAGCTGTCCCATCTCAGTCTTCATCTCTCCTCTTCTTTTTGCTCTTTCTCATTCTTAATCTTTCTATCTTCTCTATGCTGTTTCTCTCTCTCCACCCTGTCCTACTTTCCTCCACCTCCACCTTTCTCTCCTTTCCTCACCCATACTCTCAGCATCAACAACCCTTCAGAGGGTCACTTTGTTCAGTCTCACATGCGCTTTATTATTGTTGTGATTCCTCTCGGACCCCACACAACTGTGGAGGCATTATCTCGTCATGTTATGAGCTGAGTCTACGGGCTTCATGAACACCAGGAGGGAAAAGGACCTATAGTAGTTGTTTTCAATTCATTATGAGCTGTGCGAAACATACACATGGCTCCCAGTCAGCACTGTGCTCCACAGAGTCCGTTAGACAGAGATAATGCTGATAGAAACCAGCTTGATCCATTTATGAAAGGCACCCCTGGGTGAACTCTTCTACAAACACAGAGATAGGAGGCACTGAACAAGCATAAAACCTTGCAGAGAGGCTGGAGCACATTTAATGGTTATGCAGCACAGACTTTCCTCCATAAGCTGATGTTTTGGCACAAATATGCCTTTTTCAGAGCTTAAAGACTAAAACAAATAATATCATATTTAAAGCTTCCAGATATTTAAAATCTTACAGAAATTTAGATACACTTTATAGGAAGCACAGCACATATATTCTTCAACACTACATATAGTGAACAATATAATCTGGGTACATTTCCCACAGAAAAACCAAGAAAACAATGAATGACTATTATCTTCAATATAAAGAGTGTAACCCAATATGGATGCATGTAAAAAAGTACAAATATATAAGGAAAATACAAAGTAGATCAATAGATAAATACTCTTGTCTTTACAATTGGACAGTAGAAAATTCTGAAAATGCTATCACGGTGACATTGTGAAGAATATTATGGAAAGAAATTGTAGTATAATATGTAAATGAGCAATATGCAAAACAATAAAGTGAAGACACTCCATAACCATGCATATAACAAAGTATTAAGGCAAACAACAGGGTTACTAAAGTAATGACAAAAAACAGTAACAGCTATAAAAGGTGCAGTATACAGTACATAAGAGTATATCTATATAAGGCTAGGCTAAGGTGAAAACAGAAATCATAAATATTATGTAACCCCAGCTAGTCTTGTTGCATAAATGTTTAAATAACTAGACTGTGGGAATGGTGAACAGTAAACATCGTCATAATACATTATACAGCTGTTATAATGTAATAAAATAACACTAAACAAGAGCCATCTGAGTGCTGAGCCACATATAAAAATAAATAAAGAGAATCTGTCTATATTTACTACCCTACTAATAGACCTTTTGAAATAATTAATAGGAACGAAAGAGAAATCGTCATTTAGTGTACATACTGTATGTGTATATAGTGTGTGTATATATATCGTCTAGTGTGTTTATGCAATAGGCGCCTCTCTGTTTAAGTCTGGCTATGATATCTCCTTTAGGAAAGATTTTGACTGCCTCTGCAATATGTAATTGAAAGGTTTTTTTGTTTGGCCTACATAAGCCATGCCACATGGTCATTTGAGCATTTAAATTACATTAGCAGGATTGCAATTTATGAAGCTATTCATTTGCTTTTTTTATTTTTCCCCTGCTGGGGTAAAAGAAGACTTTGCTGTTGAACATATTATCACAGTGCACAGTTAGTTTTGAAGCTTGTTAGCTGTCTTCAATTTTTAAGACATCTTGTGCAGTTAACTGACCTTCTTACACTTTGGAGCATGTTGGCTTCATAATGGACTGTAGAGCTAGGAGGCTTCAGATGAGGCTCTGTGTTCCTATAGGCTCGTGTTTTCCATACATGGTAGACATGAAAGTCTGCAAGCCCCCAAATGTAAACTGTACCTGTGTGCCAGCCAAACCATTGCTCAGAGTTGCCATAGAAACATTTCAGCAACAACAGTCTACATATTACGTTATAACTTGTGCCCATCTAACCCACTCACAGCATGACATGGAGTCCAACAAGATGATGTCGTCCAGCTTGCTGAAGTCAGACTCGTCTGCGCTGCCTGCGAAGTCACTGAGCTCCACCCTTGATGACGGGGAGGTAAAGAAAATCATGGAGGAGTGTAAGAGGCTGCAGATGGAGGCTCAGAGGCTACGGGAAGAAAACAAACAGATCAGGGTGAGTGAGATGACTCAAGGACCAGAGTCAGTTCGTTTTTCTGTTATTCATTTTTGCTTTATTCTCCTATTCAGTGGTTCGCTAAAGACACACGTACCCCGCCAGTCTCCCTGTCAGGGATAATAAAGGATGTGCATGGTTTCCCCGAGGAATTTTTACTTACTGTTTACTGGAGGTGGTTGAACCACCGATGATACAAATCCAGCGGTTCACTGATTATCAAATCAATTATCAAGTTTTTCTTTTTTAATTACTACAAAACAAACCTACCTATATTGGCATCGATCAAACAGTCACCTGCTGAGCTTAATCAGACAGATTCTGATGCATCTTGTTATCCACGTTAGATGATAGTTTAAACAATCGCCTCACTCATTAAATCTGTGGCCTTTGTTGTGCGATGTAGTACCACTGCTTGTTTTCCTTAAAGCTTAATCCACCCAAAGATTATATCTTATGAAAACGTAATAATCATGGCTGTGGCAAAGGAGTGGGTCCTCCACTAATCACATGCTTGCTGGGCACTTTTATTGGTGTGTGAGTGTGCGAGCCAATTGGAGAATAGGTAGATACTGGATACAAGTTACTGTCAACAAATCAAATGTTCAGTCAACATATACTATAACTCCAGCCTACAATTGCTTAACAATTATCAACCAACTTACCAATCACTTGGTCTATAAAACATCAGAACGTTGAGCAAAATGCCTATTATATTTTCCCAGAAACCCAAGCTGACATATTTAAGCTTTGAAAATACCCCATCCCATCCACTGGACCCTTTGGCCTTGGTAGCAATACTTTAGTGTGTGTTTTGTCCTGCGCTGGGCTCAGTCTTCACAAACCTTGACAAATTATTCATTGTTTGGAAGCTCTAAGTCAACTGATTCTGTCTGTGCAATGAATTTTAGGATCCCATATCACTGCAACAGCTGTTGACACAGAGTTGGCTCAGACTTGTGGCTAGGGCTCCAAGTGTTTGCACACAAAAGGTACTACTACTACTACAGGCCTTACATTCCCTTTTATATGCCAAAGGGGAAAAAAAAAAATAGACGAGGCAAAAAAAAAAAACCATTTCTACCATGTTTGTGCCTCTGTAACTTTGGGTGAGGATCTGTTGTACTGATTCTGACTTTTTGGATATGAAATTCAAAAAGTTACCTTTCAAAGGAGACAAGGACAATGCCTGTAATCAAAAGGGCTGAAGATCAGTAACAGTTTTATTTTGTGTACTTTTTGTGTACTTTTTTTGCACTATTTAGATGTTCACTTTACAATCCTAGAAGTCCAAGAAAATGCTAAAACCAGCGTATTTTGGTATTGTAAAAACTGACTTTCATAATTGATTAATTAATTGATGCTATTAATAATCAACTAGGGCTATAACCATGGACCATTTTCATTATTGTTAATTTATTATTCCTTGATTGATCAATTAATTGTTTAGTTGACAGAATGTTATAAAATAGTGAAAAATGTTCATTAGACACAAAGACAAGCAGCGAATATTCATATTAGACAAGTTGGAACCAGTCGTTGGCATTTTGCTTGAAAAAATAACTACAACGATTAATAGATTATCAAAATTTTTATCAATTAATTTTCTGATTTCCCCTCTAATATGTACTGTACATTCAATCTTGTAGCATATGGTTTAGTTCAGTCAGTGTAGCTTCAGGCTTGAATCAAAGACAGAGGGGAAGTGTTACTCCATCGAATGAACAAAGACGAAAACCTCCCTTCATCTGAATCATCAAAATTTGCAGATGACATCATTGAACATCCAGAGTCTCATTTGTGTTTTTTGATTATTTTTTTCTGCTGATTGATGTTCACAATCAAGATAAGCAAATTAGTGGAAATTTGAGTCACACAACGTTGTTCTTCCAAATGACTCTGCAGCGTCCTCCACCCTTCGCTGTATTTCTTTGAACAGAGACAGTAACTCAAGATTGAGGTTTGCATTAAGTGAAACTGCTCATATCTATAATCAGTGTCAGACCTCAGGGTTCGATGCTCGTAAAGCAGTTGTGCAGATCAATGAGTCTGCCATCAATCACACCGATCAATGAAGTAAGGTTTATTGGGTTTTGTTAAGGTTTGGTTGGAAATGAGTCACATGCACACACATCACAGACAGCCCCTCAAACACCACCAGCACCTCCTCCCCTTTGAGCTCATGCCAGAGGCAGAACGACTGTTGGCTGCTCCTGCGGCTTAGATTAAACTAACAGAGAGCCCCCCCACCCGCTGCTGGGAAATGAAGTGTGTTAAAGCCTGGCGCCTTCTGCAGTCCTCGGGGGATTGGGTCAGATGAAGATTTAAGCAGATTCTATTTCTTTGAGCTAATAAATAAATTCTGCCTCATCTTGTTGACTGATTGACAAACTGACCGTCTCTTTTCCCCATGTTGTCTTCTTTCATCTTCATTTTTTATTTCACTCTCCCACCACCACCACCCCTCTTCCTTTTCCAACACACTTCCTTTCTTTCATCTTATCCCAATTATTTCCTGTCCACTCCTCCCCGTTTCAGGAGGACGATGGTCTGCGGATGAGGAAGAGTAACGTGATGTCATCTCAGCACACCTCAGTTGGCATGAAGAAAGAGGAAGGGTTGAGCGCCCGCACGGTGGCCCTCATCATTCTTTTCTTTGTGGTGGGCGTCATCGTGGGCAAGTTGGTCTTGTAGAGCGCAGAGAAGTTCGGTTGGCCGCAGCATGCTTTCGGGGGATGAAAACAAATCACAGAATGTGGGATTTTGGATCAGAAAACGCCATATCCGCTGGGTGGGGGGTGGTACAAGTTTTGATTCAGTCTAATTTATGTAAAAAAAAATTTCAAAGGTAATGTATGAGGAAAAAAAGAAAAAATAATCTTATGAACAAACCTACTGTTACAGGTCTTGCCTCTACGTAATCATCACATAATCATTCTGGCCCTCTTCCCAAAGTTTCATGTATACAGATGACTGGTTCGGTGGGTGGGGGGTAATGGAAACATGACTTAATGCTAGTGATTCAGACCAATGGATTTTCTAACACCGGCGAGGTAGTGTTGGTGCGATTGAGTCAGTTTGCAATTGTGTGAATGTCATTTTAGTGTATTGCTATTTCTTTTTCTAAATGATGGAGGCCAGATCGTATGTATATGTATACGTAATCCCCCCAACTGTACAGTATATCCAGGTGTTCCTTCCAGCTAAACCCCCTTTAAGGAAGGGATTTACCAGAGCGATGATCCACAAAGTCGGGGTTTCACACAGGGCTATCAAACTGACTCTTCCAATCAGAGGCTTTGTAAAATCGGCTTGTCTTTGATTGTAGAACCTTGATCAGTGTATGAAACACTATACCATAGGTATTTTCTTTCCTCGTGTCCTTTTTATTTTCAGTCTACCTTATTCCTGCCACCTGTCACTAGGTGTTCACCACACCCCCAGTTGTCAGAGGGGGATGTTTGATTGCATGCGTTCACTCAGAGTGTTGCATCTGGACTTTTGAATCTAATTTAATTGCTTTTATAATGGTGATAATAATAATGTCATTTGGCTGTAGGTTTGCACAACTACATTTTCTGATTTTCTTTTTCTCTCTTTTCTGTTTTCTGGCATTTTTATGATTTTAAGTATTTTTTTTGTTGTTAGGGTTGATGCATTTAAGAATATTGCAGCTACCTGAAATGAGATTTATAGGATTAGATCGTTTCTGTAAATGTTCTCCAGATGAAAGCCTTGCCTTGTGACCTTGGGCAAGTTATTCTCAGGCCAAGACAGAGGTATATATACAGTACATTAACATATATATATATACACACATACACAAACACACGGAAAGCATGCATACATATAGTGAGAGAGAAACCACAAATGGACAGAAGGTGCATGTAGAAGCGAATGGTTTTGAGTTTTCCTGACAACATCAACACCAACTAGGTCTTGTCCTGACAAAGGGACCTTGTTTCCTCATATTTTCCTACTGAGCCATACATTTGTTGACATTATGTTTTGTTTGGGCAAATGTATGTCAGAGATCGACTCAGTTGCTGTGTCTCAAATCACGTACTTCCATACTCACGCCGCTACATAGTGGAGGGGGAGGGACCACCAACGACTTTTCAAATTTGTGGAAATGGTGGCCTAGGAAGAACAAGTGGTCTCCGCCAATCAGGGGTCGTATTAAACAAATATTTTCCATCACTGAAATTTTTTTTTTTTTTTTGTCCCCCCCCCCAAAGTTCCTGAACCTTTGGAAAGTACTACCCCCTGTTCAGGTACCTTTTTTGGGGTCGATCAATTACCCCGGAACTAAATTTAGACCCTGGCTCCTTCGGTGGAAACGCGCATAGTTCCTCAAATGGTTCCTGGCGAAAGTTCCTACGGTGGAAACTCGGCTTATATGGGTGCTGCCAGTGCATTGAAGAGCGACGGACTGGAGGCCTTCGAGTGTATGTAGCACGGGTCACAGAGGGGTGCAGCGACGTCCCTGCTCTTGAAGCAAGTGCTTGCAAGATCGGAAAATCCCACATTCAGGGAGTCTTGCTGATTTCTGATCACTTCCCTGGGAGAAATGTTCCCCGACTTCAAAACTCTGGCTGAAATGGCGCTGGTAATTCCAGTCTCCATTCAAAATAAAATTACGGCCATGAGAATTCGTCTGTCCAAGGCAAAGATCCAAAACCTAATGACAGCTGCCTCTGCAGCAATCTGGTTATGCCCAAGGGAGCACCCGTTTAAATTCATGGAGGAAGGTTCGGGCTCGGCTTTGAGTTTGACGACTTTTACCACCCTGACAGACAACGAAAAAAGTCTAACGCAACCTCTTTTGCCGATTGCAGCCTTACTTCTATGTCGCATGAAAGAGGAAACAGTAAATCATATGCGCGGAGAAGCCAGCAGAAATTTTGGCGGCCGACAATCCCATTCAAATGATGCGATCGTCATTTCCGCTAAGTGCACAATGGCAGTGTTTGATTTGAGACAACACTACCCTGTTGGATTTCACGCACTACACCAGTGAGTATACTGGGTACACAGTGTACTACATGTAAGTACTGAATGAAGTGTCCGATTTGAGACACAGCAAGTGTTTTAAGATGGCTGCTGCAGTTCTCAACTGCTGTTCATTTTGCTGTTTTTTTTTTTTTTTGTCTGTTTTTCTTTCACTCCACTGCAGGCCTTTGCTCAGTTTTTGGTGTTTGTTCAGCATTTATCTGTTGCTTATTAATGTTATATCCTCACTGCATTTGAAGTTGTGTTCATTTTTAATGCACTAAAGTTACGAGTGTTTCTCCTTTGATCTTCCTGCAGCTTATAACATATTTTTTTCTCAAGCAAGAGGAAAAAAGCATACAGCCTAGCTATAGCCGTGAGGGGATCACATGATGGCATTGTACTGTTCCAGAGCCAATGGTTATTTTTGTGTCAAAAATAAACAAAAGAAAAACATACTCAAATTGTTTCATCTCCCAATTTGCATATTGAAGAATAATGCATTGGAAAGTGTCATTCTACTTTGCATTATTTGAAGGCAGTCGGTTACATTTTATCCCAGTGTATCCTCATAAGATGAGTAGGCAGGAGTGTATTCCACTTTGCTAAACTGAAAATTAAAAAAAAAATTACAAAAATCCACCATCTTTTCATTTATAGCGTAGTAGGAGACAATAGATTTGGCTGGCGGGTAAGAGATGAAAATAAACATGAGCGTGTATTTCTACTGTATCTCTGTAAAGTTGTTGGGTTGAGGATGACTTGCTGCTTAGAGGGAGGGCAGAGCAGACCTGAGCTACAGTCCCATCTTGGGTTGTCAGGCCTGGGTCACATAGTACTTACAGAAAATTATTGTTGTTCAGTTAATCCTGGGTGGAGTATCAGAACATTTAACACAAGGAAAATACTTCCACCTACCAGAATATACTGTTACGTCAGTGTTGGTACTCCAAGTAGGATTAAAGAAACAAAAATAATTACATGTAAATACTAATGGATCCAGGCATAGTTGTAAAACACACTACACTGACCTGTCCTGGAGTCTCTGACCATCACCGTGATCAATGTAAGCAGTCGGAAAACTGTTTTGTATGTATATAAATAAATAAATAAGTCTATCTGAGAAGAAGATTAATATTCCTAGTACAGTAGTCTCTCTGGTGTATAAAAACAACCCAACCTGGTTGGACTATGTAGCATCTTAATAAATTAAATGAATAAAGCCCATACCTAATTGTGTGAAGTCATTTCCTGTTATGCACACAGGGTACAAGGTGTTTTTTCCATTAATAAAATGGCGCCCCCAAGAATCATGGAAGGAAGTGAAAGAATTTGAAGGTTCTCATATTGATACGACTTGTGCAGCGCTACTTAAAGTTCAATTCAGAGGTCAATTCATGCACTGAAATGTAAATGTAGTTTCTTGCTTGTGCGATTTGGTTGTACGTCTGTGGTAGCACAGGTGTCTCTTTTTTTTTCTTAAGCTCACTGCAGACAGCCATTAGCAAAGATATTCGGGCCATGTGATCTCAGGATGAACAAACTGTTATGAATAAGAACAGTTAAAGGAAAGGCTGTTTGTGAAAAGAAGACGAGGTCCATCTGGCTGAAATGTTGCACTTGACTCAGGTCACATCAATTGAGGCAACTTTTTTCACAAGACCTGCACACAGACTTTGACGTGTAAAAAATGAGTTCCCCTTTAATAAAGACCACAAAGGCATACATTTCACTTTTAGTCATTGTGTGAAGTCTAAAAAGAATTAATAATCATATACAAAATGTCACTTCATGGTATCTTGATTCATGAGTAAAAGTAGAGAATCAAGCAGTCTCTGACACTTGAACACAAGTAGATAAAAGTGACCGAGTCTTGTGGTCCAAGGCCGGATCACATCCTCGCAGCGTGCGACGTCTGAGCAGGCCATGCATACAGATGTCTTTCAAACCATCTGTCATAGCCCAACACAGCATAGCCAGAGTTTGTGCCTTTCATGTATCAGCATCACATTGGGGTCGCAGTGTCAGGTGTCTGCTTCTTGCATGAAATATGCAGTGATATTTGAAAAACCATGGTCAATTAACAACACTTCTTGCTGCTCTGAAGGTGTCTCCAAAATCCTCAAAAACATTTCACAATAAAAAAGATTTTTAACCCTTTTCCTCAGTTGCAGCTGTATTTGCTTTGCTTTATTTGGATTAGGAAACAGAGTTACAACTTTGGAAACAGGTTAAAAATCTTTTATTGTGGAGCAGACAGACTGGTTTTCATCCAAATGGTTAGAAGAGTTTGTGTGTATTCTGGAGATATCACCAGAAAAATTACCTTCTGGGTAAATATCGTAGCATGTCTATCTCATTGCAAAACAGATACTGTGACTGCAATTGGTAATAGGCAAACAGGGGCTATATTCAGCACTGTTCTTGGTTTCCTAGTTGCTTTTGGTCTGTGAGCTCATGGGTCCAAATTACATTTGGGTGTTTTAACCCTGTTATACTTGGCTTGCAAATCCAGTATATACAGTATATATGCAGAAATGTATGAGTTTTTATTTATTTTTTTTGTCACATCAGCTTGTCAGAGTGTTTGCAAGACTGATTATGAGGTGAAAAGATTCTGAGGACTGCGCACGCCCCGTCACAAAAAGAATAACACTGACTGCTAAGAGACAGAAAACCGACATGCTGTATGATTACTACTTTCCTCACAGCCAGACCTGCTGCCACTGACACCCAAGGCCAGGCTGGTTTGTTAGTTGTTACCACTTTGCTTGAGTTGGCAGTACCACAATTTGCAGTGGGATAAGAGTGTTAAAATATATAGCTGCAAGGACATTAATTACCCCTTGGTTTTCTACATTTGTAGCTGTGATGTCTAATAAAATAAACTCCTGGTGATTCATCCAGTGTTATTGTATCAGTAACAACCAGACAGTGTTTCTGTCTGCACCTCGTGGTTGGAGGCAGTGGAGTGGAGTTTGTGTCAGGAACCCCCTGGTGTGCACCTGGGCCTGGTAGCTCCTCAGCTGTTTGGCTTGGCCACAGCAAAACACAGCTGCGAACTCAATGGTGGAAAACAACCAATATTAATTTACGTTTTTACATCCAGTTGGGAAATAATCCATTTCCAAGGTAAATCACAGAGGAATGTTTCAAAATACTGAGAAGATGAAAATAACAAGAGGTCCAGAGGTTTGCTGCTAACCTGAAGAAAAGGTTAAAGAGGCAGCGACGGCCTTTTTTGTTGCTGTGATTTTAATGTTGTCAGGTAACCAGCAGAGTCTCCAGGAAGCCACTGCTCCTCGCCAAGAAATAATTCGGCACATAAACCCCCATAAAACCAAACCTTATCGTTTGAACATTTTGTTTTTTTGTTCTGAGTAAACAAATGAGATCCTACATATCAATTAGTGAGATTTAGAAGTTTTCAATTAACTTTTTCTTTGACTTTGACCTGCACTATCTTATTATCCATTTTGACCATAAGGAATCCACACCAGACGCTGACCTCTGACCCACAGACTCGATGTCTTCTGGAGGGCACAGATTCTTTTGGAAGCTGTGACTGATCTTTAACCATTCTGCCTCACTCCCACCGTGTTTCAGTGAATCATCTTAATTGAGATTCTCTACAATAAACCCGATGTCTGGCTGTGCTTCCGAGTTGAAAAACATATAAAGCATTTAATTATGCATTAGCCTGACACACTCCTATTCTTGGTGTTAACTGTGTTATTACTTTTGGCAGCGTGATAAGTATTGTTTTACACTGTTATACACAGAGAAAACAATCCATCTCCTGCTTTATCAACAGGTTTTACATATTTGGCATATTTATATATACCCTTAATTTATTTTCCATCTCAAAGTTGCACAAGTGAAACGGAATACTCTTCACGGCATTGTTGCTTGGCATATAAATAAGCCAAATTTCATGCAAATTTTCTACTTACAAGAGGTCCCTGTAAGAGTATTTGGAGCCTTAACAGTTTGAAAAGGACCCGCAGCTTGCCAGAGAGGTTGGAGGCGGGACAACTGGCAGCGAGTGGTGCAGTCTGGAGGAGTCGGCCTGTGGCAGATCTCTCCAGCAATAACCTTTTCAATCATTTGTGTGATCTTAACCTTAGAGCAGAAACATGACCTGATTTTACAAGCCACCAGAACTGACAGATCGCTTTCAGGGGAATGCTTCTGTCAGAATGAATCCCAAAGGCAACAAGTATGTTAAAAAGGTTGTCTCCTACTAAAAGTTGTAAGTTACTGTCCATCTGTTATGTTTTTATGTGTGAAGAGTAGCTCAGATGTTTTTTTTTTTATTTTGTCTCTTTCTGGGATTTGATGTGTCCTGCAGTGGCTGAAAGTAACCAAGTATATTTACTCAAGTACTTGAGTACATTTCTGAAGTACTTGTATTTCCATTTTCTACTACTTTATTCTTCTACTCCACTGAGAGAAATATTCTATTTTTTACTTCGCTTTAATTACCTGGTTATTTTCAGAGTAAGATTTTACATAAAAACATTGTATTGTTATAAATTCTGTTTGCGATACCTTACAGATAAGTAGTATCTGATTGGGGCCCGTTGTTAGGTTTAAGTTGTCTTCGAGATGTTAGGGATTCTTTGGAGCCTCCTCAGCATCTCAAAATAACATCAATGGCAAATATAACAAAATGGCAAAACTACAGCCACTCTCCATATTTAACTACAGAACTGCTAAGTAAACAATAATTACTGCCACTGAGTAAATTATAAGACTCTCCTCTGCCCTCACAAAAAGTCAGATGAAAAATCTTCATGCAGTCCCTTAGCAGTTCCATCAAACAGGCATTTCAAGTTCTGTCATGATTTAATTCAAATGACCGAGGCCTGTAGAGGTAAACCTCACAAAAACACTTCACAAAAAGATTCAGATTTTGTTGTTTTTTCCTTCTTCAATAATCATTTCATGAACCCTCAGATTTATCTTGTGACCCTCTGGAGGTGCCCAACCCTTAGTTGCCCACCTCCAGCTACAACTGTAAAATGCTACTTACACATTATTACATTAGTAGTAATAGTAATAATGCAGGACTTTTACTTGTAATGGAATATTTTATTACAGTGTTTAATTGGTACTATTGCTTAACAACAGGATGTGAACACCTCTTCCACCACTGTTTAACAGTTATAGTTACCACTTACTTTCCAGATTAATATTTAACATATAAAACACATGATCAGATGTACATTATTATAGATAACACTAGCTGCTCCCAACCTTTTTGGCTTGTGACCAACCCGATTTATCTTGTGACCCTTTAAAGGGGTCCGACCCTGAGGTTGGAAACCAATGGACTAAATTAGCTCCAAAATGCTGCTTACACATTGATGCATCACTATGAGCAATCGATTACATCAGCCATTTTTCTGCAGAATAAGCCTGATAGACGAGGAGATTCTGTTAACAAAGTAGAAAAAGAAAATTTGGGGCTGGTATGTGGTGTTGGATCTGTTCAGTAGTTGGTTAAGTATATGAGCATGAGGTCATGACAGAAAGGGGGCCCGTTTTTTGTCTGGCATGAGATCAAGCAGGAAAGTGTAGCGGCTGCCCTGCACGGCAGCTCTGTGGGCAAAACACACAACACTTTGTTCATTTGTCCCAGAGCCAAAAAGACAAATTTTTCAATAGAAACTCATTTGTTTCTACTGATCCAGCCAACTTATGGCTGATGTTATCTTTTATGGGGCAGCTGCAGCTCATATTCTTATAGAAATAATGGGATTTTCTTAACAGAGCCTGAAATTTGAATGAGTGAGAGAGGTTGGAAGTTACCCGTACTACTGCACTGATGTCATCTCAGTGATGTGTGTGTGTGCAGTAACTGCATATGCAAGATTTTTATGGGAAGGCAGGAGATGGGAAAGAGAAAAAAAAACATACCTCTGCTGTATTTTCTATTGAGTCTCTGTCCAAAAGCAGCTCTGTCTTTCTTTTACCAGAACATTTATCAGACTAAACCACCAAACTGTTTGTGGTTTGGAAAATTGGTTTAGCTGAAAGGAAACTCCTTAGGGCTTGTTTTGTTTTCTTTGTTTTTTACCGTCTATAGGAACATTCTTCCTAAAGTTGTATGAAAAGATTGGGTCTTTCACAGTCCCAGCTCAGGGAAGCCTGCAGAAAGTCAAACAACAAACTCAAGAGATTTATTTTCGAAAATGTCAGCTTAAACGTTACATGTGTTGCAGAGACCCCTGTGAGCAATGTGAACTGCACAGAGGACAACTTGGCCATTTTTGCTTTCCCTCTTGTGCTTGTGGCCCTGAAGAATTTCCTCATTACATTTGTTGCTGGATTGACATAATTTTGGATGCGATTTCTAGTCTGGAGGATTTCAACTGCTTGTTCAGTGAAGGAATTTTGGCCAGTTTGCTTATGTATGACCACATGTGTCCCTTAATTCTCATGTTACTTGGTTTTCTACCAAAATATTAAGTAATTCAAAGTTTCATACAATGCAACAGCATTATTATTTTGTTTTAACAGAATAGTTTGGAAAATATGCCACCACTCTCATGTCAGTCTGTTAGATATTAAGCTACAACTAGTAGACAGTTAGCTTACCTTAGCTTAAAGACTGGAGGCACTCAAGACTTGAGTTTTGTATGAATTTAACAAATTACATATAATGAGTTAATTTGTGAACTTTAGCGTGCTGCTAGGTGGATTTTGTTCGATTTTTTACTTCTACTTTAATTTAAAAACATATAGGCTAAAGCATATAAAATACATTCAACAGTATTTGTACAGTAAATTAAACCATTCAAAAATATATAAAGTAAATAAACTAGCCAAAATGAGCTCCACTGGAGCCAGCTACAACACTAAAATACTGCTTTCACATGAATGCATCATATTTATAATTATTTTGCTGATGCTTCTGTCACCTAAGTAACATTTTGAATTCAGGACTTCTATTTTTAATGGAGTATTTTTACATTGCAGTCTTTTTACTTAAGGATCTGACTACATCTTCCATCTAGTTACTCTTCAGATTAATATTCATCATATAAAACATATGATAAGATGATTCTTGTACATTAAACTAGTGGTTCCCAACCTTTCTGGGTCAGGAACACCCAGATTTATGTTGTAACCCTTTGGAGGGGGCCCGATCCTCAGGTTGGAAACCACCTAACTAAACTACCTCACTGTAATAACTGTAAATTATGTCAGTCCTTCTCACCACAGCCACATATTTACAGAGTGCTATCAATCTTCTGATCTAACTCTCGGCAAGAAAGCAAATAGGCATGTTTCTCAACATGCTCCAAGAATTATATAAAGACTGATCAACTTGGCCTCAGGAGCTCATGTGTATTACTACCATTATTTTAGATAATGACTGCAATTAATCTGGTGCATGCACAAATGCATCCAGAATGCAATCATGCTAGCTTTTTACTTTACTAACAAAATTGGTTCTGTCTTTTTTTGTTGTTGTTGTTGTTCAATGGATGCATTCAATAAGCCACTGAGCCTGATTACTAACAGGTTGGGTCTGCACTCGTCTCTGCCTTGACAGTCTCTCTACTTTGTGGCGCACAACAGAAACCACAAACAGACTATGAAAAACTGTGCTGCCCCCAGCCCTTCTCTCAGTTATCATCACCACCCAGCCATCTCCAGCACACAACATGATGGGTGGATCTATGTGGTTACTGGATTTATTGGTTTCACCAAAGATTTATCCGGATTCGGAGTCCATTCAGTGACAGATTCTGTACATTATTGTCCAGATAAATGCAAGTCATCCAGCCTCGGTTTGTCTTTCAATCAGTCTCTGTTCTTTTTTGTGTTGGCGTGTGGGGGGTTACAGACCTATATCCTCCATCCAAGCCTGAAGGATGACCTCACGGGGCTAGCAGCTGCCATCACCATTCTCGCAGGAGTTAATAGGAACAGTATGTAGCCTCTGGAACGGACTCTTTCTTTCTTTCTTTCTTTCTTTGTCCCCACTGGTTCAACACTAAAGGGCCAACTAACATCATTTAACCCTCCTTCATTATTTATTTTCATGGTCATTTTTTTCTTTACTCTGAAACCATTTTTTTTTTTTACTTCCCAATTATTTTCTCATTTTAAAGATGCATCCCATGAGCCTTCAAGGAAGAATGGTGTAATGTTACAGCCCCTGAAAAGTTGATTTCAAAGTTTCTTGAAGCATCTATATCAATATTTTCATATTGACTATGCATCACATGATCACTTGAAGTGAAAGCAGGCGCTAATAGTGACAAACCCACATACGCTCAACTAAGCTTTTTATAGTGTCTTTTATCTGTTGTTTTCTCTTTCTGTTTGGTTCAGTTCCATCGCTCTCATAGCCTCGTTTTCGGCTGCAGCATGCAAAAAAAATCATCTATTCTAACTGCCCGCAGAGGTGTTGTTATAATCTTGAAACACTGGGGGCTTAGCTCAGCCCAGAAATCTTTACGTTTTCACCCAATAATTGCACCATTGTCAAGTTAGAGTATTTAAGAGTAATATAAATATAAGATGTGTGCATGTTATGCTTCATAAATATACCTTAGAGGAAACTAATTATGGCTTTCAGACTTATCAATTGGATTCTACAAAGGCAAAGTAAGGTCATCCCTTTTCTTTTCTATGCTTAGCCCATGTTCCTCATTAATATCACAGTGAGTGCAGGCTAACTTGACCAGTGGTTCCCAAACTGTGTGCCTTGGCACACTGGTGTGGGAGCTGGTCAGGAGTGCCTGGGAATGAAGTCTTATTTATGATGATTTACATATGTAAAGATGTGCCTTGGAAATGCTTGTTTCATAAATAGTGCACCTTGTGTAAAAAAAACACTGGAGAACCAGTGGGCGCCCAGGCCTAACCACACCACTGCCCATCACCAAACATTTAACAGACAAAGATAGCAATTAGCTGGTAAACATGGTGGAGCATTTAGAAGCCAAATTGGTTAGGTTTAGGCAACAGAAGCACTTTAGTTAAGGTTAGGGAAGATTGTGGTATTTCGCTTAAATTCCTCATTTGTTCACACCTCCATCTTATTGCATGTGAATTCAAAATGGTTTATGTATAAAGGTGACTGACGATCATTACTCTGCTATGTTGTATTGAGTTGAACTGAAATGCCTGCAGTCATCTTGTAGAAGCAGGTGGAAGGATTTTTCAAATGGAGGATGTCTCCCTGTGGAGCGCAACGCTTCACTTGCTTCAGTCATAACACTGAAAATCCAGAGCTATATCTATATATATTCCTCTGTTGACTCCTAACTGCTGCTTCTCTTAGCTCATTTATTATCAGAGCGACTGCAAAATATATATTTTGTTGGCTGATGGGCTGTGTGTTCTCAGGATACGCCATGCATCCAATCTGATATCCTTCTGTGTGTTTTCAGCCGTTGGACCTGCACAGGAATGTCTTGTGTAATGTGTGAGCCATATGACAGTTATTCATCAAACAGCAGTACGCTTGCCCACTATCTGGGCTTTGACTCAGACCATGGTACGAACACCAGAGAGAAGACAAAATCCAGCTAATACTACAATCCAAATTGTCTGTCTGCTTCTTGAAACAAAACAGCAGCTTTGGGACAAATCACAAGTAAGGTTTCATTTTTATTTGTGTCAGTCGGTTGGTCCAGATTATATCGTTTGGATAATATTGTTTAGATTGTAATTACGAGAGACAGAAAAATTGACTCCATGTCAACATCTGTGGTGTAATACTGAGTTGGAGATATTGGGAATGTGTCAAGTGTCAACAAAACACTGGTAAAGGGCTGCGATATCGCTGGCAGTAGCATTCAATAAAATCTGTAATAAAATTAATTCAGCTACTTTTGAAGGGGCTATACACAGTTTGTTTGTATCTGGTTTTACTTGAGAAGAAAATCACTCCAAATAACACCACAAAAGTAGCTACAGTAATTTAGGCTGTTTAAATGATATGACTACAAGGCTAACAGTGTGGCTAACCATCTTGGAATAATGTGCAAACATTTCCGAATGGAATAACAGTAGGTTTTCCAATTCCTCCCAGTCTGCCCCACGGTGGGTGAATCCGCGTTATACCTGCTAAATATCGGCATGTTAGCATTGCCACTGTGAGCATGTTACCACACTGATGTTAGCATTTAGCTCAAAGCCCTGATGTGCTTGGATACTGCGCCTCACAGAGCAGCTAACATGGCTGTAGACTCTTATAGTCTTGTTTTAAAGACTAATTGAACACAAGATGTCATGAAAAGCCATTTTTAATACACATACGTGCAAAATAATCACTTATTCAAAGGCGAAACTAACTAAAATATTAGACCAACATCTGTCTTTTTTTTAATCAAAAAGTACAGTATAAATGGTTAAAATAAATATTTGTCTGATTTGTTTAGATTGACTGCTGATAGAAAAGCAGACTAATGCACTTGCTTTGAAGGAGGGACAGAGATAAAGCAACATTTCACACCACAGTGGCATTAGACTAATCAAGCTGGTAGCTGTTAGAGCGCAGACAACACATTTTCTACTTTCTGGTTTCTTTTCTTTCCAGTATGTTGATAAAAATGTTCTGTACAAAGTGCATTAGTTTTACTGCATCTTGGTGAATAGTCCACTGGAATGTCCATGGCTTTCATTTTGATGTGGAAATAAGTGATCCACATCCCAGCACTGATTTGTTGTAAAAACAACAACACGCTGTGAAAACAGCGTTTACCCAGAAATGAGAAAAAAGTATTGATCCGTGAAGTGAGAGCATCTATTTGAACATTATACACAAGGAAGATGGTTTAAAAGAATATATTTTTACATGCTGAAATGATGGCGCTTGAATATGTTGGTGGTTTATATACAGATTGTTTTAGGCGGAATTGTGACTGAAGTTAAGAGTCAAAGTGAAGTGAACCCACGGGCAGCATCTGAAGGCCAGATATTGAAAATTACTGAACTCTCCTGAATGTCTCATGATATTTCTTGACCATCACACATGTGGTCATCATCATATGGAGAGTGAACGTAAGCTGCCAGAAAAACAATGTCCATCACTGACTTCAGCTGTGTAACAGGTTTCATTTTTGAACAATGTCTCTAATAAACACAGAACAAGCTGCACAGCACAGATCCAAACACCAGGAACACCAGCTGTGCCAGTCTCTCTGTCCCATTGGCTACTAACTGGACTTGCTTGCTGTTAAATCCTGATTCATAGCGATGTGAGGGCTGTGTCTCCCCCCCGCCGCATAGCACCATGGGGGCTTGAAAGGAAGTGGGCCTCCTCTGCGGTCTGTCAGGACTGGACCCATCAGTCGGCCTCTCACCAATGAACAGCAGCAGGCGTTTCTTGTGGTCCAGCTCAGTCTTGAAGAGCTCGTACTCCTTATGTGGCAGCTTGATCCCCAGCACTGTGCACCCGTCTGTGGGGGTCAAGTCCTGCTCCACCCCGACCTTCCAGCCTCCAGCCCGACCACACTTTCCTGGCCTGGTCCCGTTCAGCAGCTTGGCTGTGGGCTCCTCCACGGCTGTGACTCTCACCTGGGTGACCTTGAAGACAAACTCAGTGGCTCCTGAGACCTTGGTGGAGGGGTTTCCCTGAGCGTAGTGGCCCGAGGCTCTCAGGGTGAACGTGGGCTGAGAGCAGGCAGGGTCCGAGTAGTGCCGGTAGATGCCCTCCCATGCGTGCTGGTCAGGGTCAAAGGTGAAGTCTCGGGTGAGGAAGAGGACAGTGGGACGGGTTTCACAGTGCTGGCTGACCCAGCGGCCGGCCAGAGACAGAGGAGCTGCAGAGCTGCGGGGCAACACCGGGGGGCGCTGCTCTGAAGAGCGGTACACCAGTGCACACACAGGGCAGGGGTGGATGTGATGCTGCAGAAAGGGAGGGAGAGGTGAGACAGTGGGTTTTAGGACCTAATCTAATTTTCATTATCACTCAAGTTGTTATTTGATATTAATATTAGTATTAATCTTTTTGATAAATTGCTTCATCTCATATAAAATGTCAGGATGATAAATCTCAAGCTCAAGGGACTGTCTCTAAATGGCTTATTTTGTTCAGGCAAAAATCCTGTATTATTACTACATACACTGTATGTAGTATTATTATTCATTATTTAAAGCTGAAATTAGTCAAACAAATGATTAATCGATTGGTTAAGTGACTTAAACTTTATCAGCAACAGTTTTGATAATTAATTGTTATTCTATGCTTGAGCAATCATTTGATGGTTTCAGCTTTTCAGATGTGAGGATTTTCTGTGTTTGTTTGTCATTATGATAGTAATGAAAAGAAATGAACCGAATTTGGGAGTACGCAGTATAAGATGTTGTTAATACCTCTGCTTGTCCTTGTATTCAGTCTTTCAGTCAAATAAATACAAAAATAAAAAAACAATACATCATATATGTCTCACCATGGCGTTCTGCAGTGGCTGCTGGTACCCTGTTGGTCTGTATTGAGTTCTCTGAGTCCAGTCAGTGTTGATATCCCCTAAAAACAGCTCCTGGATCTTCCCTCCATTGTTGTGGTGCTGCGTCTCCACCCGAACCAGACCCATCTCCATCATGGAGAAGCCCAGTGCTGCCAGACACCCTCTCCCTGCCCGCGTGTTGTACAGCTCATACAGCTTCCCCGGCGCCACCCGACCTAGGGTCAGACCCACACAGGTCGGTGGCAGCCTGGAGGCCAGCCTCTGCTTGGCCACCAGGCTGTGGACCATGATGCCCACCTTGCTGAGGTGGTGTTCAGCTTCAGTGCCTCCGCGGGTGATCCAGGAGGCCTGGCGCAGACGAAGCTTTCCCCTGATCATCAGGGTGTAGGCTGGGTCCTCACAGCTGCTGTCGGTGTAGTAGTGCTGCAGGGCCTGGAAGTGACGGCTGGGGTGAAAGGTGTAGGAGCGGGTGAGGAACTCTGGACCAGGCCGAACTTCACATCTGAGCACAGAGAGATAGAAATGGTTAAAAGCAGGTAGTTAGATGTTTGAGTTTTAAACTGTTGCTTGGACAAAACAAGACATCTGTAATGTCAGCCTGTACTGTGGGAAATGATTGTGGGTATTTTGTGTTATTTTCAGACATTTTATGGAGAAAATGTTTAATTGATTAATTGAGAAAATAACTGGCCAGTCATCACCATCGATAATGAAAATAATCACTAGTTGCAGTCCAACTCAGCACAGCCCTCCGAAACAAAAAAAACACTCTTTGGCTACCATGTTGGAAACCCATATTACCTGTGCCAACAAAACGCTTCTCCTTGCCAGTTATCAAAGCACCTTCATATCAAGCCAGCATCACCAAGCAAATGTTAGCCAGGGACTGAGCTTTGCTTGGCCACCAAGACATACTTTTGACGTGCCTAAGCAAACAATCTATGACAGCTGCTCAGGTTTAATCCAAATCTTTTAATAGTGTTTGTAACTGAAACCAAATCCTTTCGGTGTTTTGGCCTGATAATTAAGAGTTATAGTATTGCAACACCAGCATCATGCTGCACTTTTTATTTTTTTATTTTTTTATCATGTCAAAACATACGGCTCCAAGTCTCAAGTCAAGTCAAGTCCTTAGGGGAGTCAATTCCAAGTGTTGTGTCGTCTTCATTTGTGTGACTTAAGTCTGACTCAAGTCCAAGTCTAAAGCTCTGGCCACATCTGCCTCAATTAAAATGCTGGAAAATAATGACATTTATACAAAAGTGATATTAATCTACTCAAAGTTTAATAGTTAAAAAAGACACTATTTATGAATAGATGAGGTAGAAGTAATTGTGATATTATAGCAGTGTACAGATGGGTGACATATTTAAGGAAAAAACTAAAATAAAGTGTCTCATGCTCCTTGGCATCGATCCTCCAAATCTCTGGAACTGGAGGAATGAACGTTACTCTTCCAAAATATTTTCCCCATATTTGATGATGGCGGAGGAGAGCGCTGTCCAACAGATTTGTCCAAATTCCCAGATTTAGGTTGACATCTGGTATTTGTGAAGGTCATAGCATGTGATTCACATAATTTTCATGCTACAAGCCATTTAGTGACCCCTTAATGCTTTTTATGGAAGCATCTGCACTAATCTAATCTGTTTCATATTTGACTTATTCACCTGTCTGCTTCTTAAAGTGATCTAAAAATGCATGAATTGAAACTGGATAATCTTGTATAGGCGCATTGTTGCTACAACAACTCCATGAAACCTCACCTTGTTGACACCCATGTGCCATCCAGTCTTGGGGGGATATCTGCTGTGATTCTCACTCTGTCCTGTAGGTGGCGGTACTGACAGTGAGGAGCCCACTGCAGGCTCTCACTGAGGTTGGAGGAGGAAGTGAAGGAGGCTGTGGGCACCTCCCAAAGTTTGCTCCCTGCCCCCGCCACAAACACAGCTACAGAGGAAAAGAAAGTCAAAAACAGTGAGTAAATAATCACAGGCTTCATTTAGATTTCCAGGCTGATTAAGGGTGGACGTGGGAAACAGGAAAACCCAAAAATATGCAGTTCAGAGATGATTATCAGCTTCCTTCATCAGAAAATGAAAGGAACAAGTAAAAAGCCATAGGGGAACATTCACATCTTCTGTCTGTTACATCTAAACACAATTCTGGTTGACTGCGGGCTGTAATTTTGGTAAATTTTCCATGTAATGAGCGTTGAGTCTGTGCTATAGGAAACATACATTGCAGTGAATCAGGACGTTGGCCATAGTGCAGACAGTTTTGGCTTGTCACTTCAATCGGCCTGCAGCTGCAACACACACACTTTGTTTTGGGGTTTTCCTTGGAAGCAGGAGGTGTGTGTTTGTGTGTGTGTGTGTGTGTAGGTGAGTGTACACTCTTTGTACAGTAAATATGCATTTCTGCCATTGAGAGGAATCAGTGGGTCACAGTGGGTCACTGACAGCAGCAGCCGACCAAGCCAAAACACATCTGTTGAAAATATGACTCAAAAAACACTTATGATGATGAATGTTCTTGCTTGAGTATAACATTGATTGATCTGGCGTGTGCACATCTGCAGTCTGTCTGCCCGTCGCTGGTCATAACCGGCTGCACTTTTTGCTCAATCCACAGAGATGTGTGCGTTGGCAACATGGCGAGGCCGAGCGCTCCGATCTGGTTCCAGACCAGACGAGGGCGAGAGGATTTTCTGATTGCATTCATGGTTGCAAAATGAGGAAACCCACTGGGGTCTGTGTGAGCAAATTTATGTTTGTGTGTGTGTGTGTGTGTGAAAATTATGGCTTCAGTTTCATCCTCCCAAAACAAATGTCAAAAAGCAAAGGGGGATGAGTTTTTACAGATGCCTCCATCTCCTGTTTTCTCTCTGACTTTTTCTCTTCTTTTCATCTTGTACTCTTTCACTCGTTTCCTTCCTTCATTTAAACTTTGGTTTTTGTATGGATTATACACATCAAATATAATGTGTTTAATAGTGAGCTTTAGAGGTGCTTGTAGACAAAAAAGCCAGGCTGGCTGTTTCCACCTGTTTGCAGTCTTTATGCTAAAATAATCCAGCCAGCTTCTGAATTTGGGCTTCTCATCTGATTCTCCGCCATAAGAGTATTTCCTCAAATGTCATACTTTTGCTTTAAATCAGCCAGAGCTGCAACAATTTGTGATTTGTGATAATGGATTAATTATTTCATTTTTCAGGCAAAAATGACAAATGTTGTCTGGTTCCAGCTGTTTTTCTTTGGTTTTGGACTGCTTGTTGGACAAAACAAGCAGATTGAATTCATCACCTTGGACGCTGAGAAATTGTAAATACTGTGTATTCACCATTTTTAATGAACTAATCACGAAAAAAAAAACCAGTAGATTAATCAATAATGAAATTACTCATTAGTTGCAGCCCTAAAGTCAGGGTTTCCAGCTTGCTTTTCCCCCTGTTTCCTTCTCTCTTATTCCCTCATGCTCTCTCTTATCCCTGCAGCTCTTGCATTCCTTCTCTCACTTTCTAAACTTTCCCGGGACAGACAGCTTTATGGGTGTAATCTCACTCCACTTCCCTCTCTCTTTGACTTTAGATGCACATGGGGAGCACATCACCTGTCGAGCCTGCAGTTGAGCAGGGAGTGAGCTGTGGATCAGTTTGTTCACTTCTGACTGAGCAGATGGCGCTGAGGGAAAATGAGGACTCCTGAATGGAAAGTGTGTGACACGGACTTGCCGTTGGATTTTTCTGTGAAAGGCTCCAAAATGGTGGCTGACTGATCGGCGTTTATTAACCTTGTTAGTGTCAGATGGAGGATATTTTTTGTTCCCCTCACTGTTGGAATGCGTCCCATATGCTGACCACAACCACAGACATGTGTGCAGCTCAGTCATTTCCAAGCATCCTTCCACCTGATACACACACACATATGGACACACACGCACAAGCCCATATGTACAGTTTGGATTGTTTGAACTATACAGTCACAGACCAGATTTAAGCTCAAGGCACATCTCTCCTTTGAGTCTATTTGTTGATATGATTAATACCTCTTTTTCCTGTCACTGGCACTGAAACATGTTTGCAATTTTCCCCACGCAGTGATGTGTTTGTTTATGCTCCATGTCACTGCAGCTGGCGAGGGAATCCGGTCACTCGGACCCAGCTGCGCTCCCACAGGAAAACTCGGAGCAGAAATACTAATCAGGATTAATTAATTTCCACTGCTCCTTACAAGTCATTCAGTCGGCCTGTTTTGTGTTATCCCGCCTTTGTAGCTGCATGCAACATGTTGCCTAAGTGGTTACAATGAATGAACAGAGGGGCTTGAGTCACAGTATGTGATGTGGAGTCATTTGGGCTGCTATATTTGAGTTTCTGTTTTTGCCAGAGCATTTCTATAGAGTGATTCTTGAGGTCACTTGTCATTCAGCCCCTCTCCCTCTCTTGGATCTCATTCCAGTTGGGCATATGGTTGCATTTACTAAAAGAGTTCTCATAAAAGCAGAGCTTAGTAAAACAAAATTGCTCATCGTGGGGTTTTAACTATTCCTCTACAAAAGAGCCTATTCCAACCACAAGTGAGGCGATGTTGTAATACATATGATAATATCCAACCCCCATCTCAATTTGGAGGAGTTGGGGGACTATTTTAGTTGATTCACTTCCTACATAGGCAGTCAAATATCATTAGTTTTACCCTGAAATGGTTCCCACTGATTTATTTTTCCACTATGGCCCCTAAAACATCCCCCCGATGCAGTCTGCACCTCCCTGTCACTGTGTAGTGCTCAGTGCATCTAAAATAGATTTTATGTTTTGTTTTTGCGAATGAAACTCAACCCTGATATGAATAGTTGCATTCAACTTTACGATGCATTGTACAGTATATACAGTATGTGTAGAATTCAGGTTAGCCTAGAAGATAAAACAAAAACCATTTTATTATAAATCTGAAGGTGACAAATATGAAAGCTCACTGATATCAACTGTCACACTGTCTCATAACTAAAATATAGAATAAGGTGCAACACTGAAACATCTGCTCAAAGTAGATTTCTAATAATTACCTGCAATCACTTAATTTATTAATCAATAGTTTGAAAATTGATTGCCATTTTATTTTGATAATCAATTAACTGTTTAAATAATTTTCAAGCACCATTTGTCAAACACCTGATGGTCCCAGCTTCTGAAATATCAGTTACATTCCAGTAAATTCATCATATTTCAAACAAAACAAGACAATTAATGACATAGTTTTGGGCTGTAAGAAATTGTGGTGGGAACTTTCCCCTTTTTTGATGTTTTATTGACCAAACAATTGATTTAAACAACTGATTTATTGAGAAATCATTGCAGTTGAGAAATAGTTGACAGATTAATTGATAATAAAAACAGTTCCTGGTTTTGGCCCTAAATCAAAGATCCTTTTACTCAGGTTTTACATGTTATTAATCTCTAGGACCGGAAAAAGGTCAAGGGTCAACACCTAGTATGTGAATAGTTTGCTAAAGCATCAGAACCAGTAAATCTTTACAGGCTATTTCCCCATTTACTAGAATGGGACACAACCAAACGGATGTGCATGTGTCACTTGGATTGCCTTAACGACACACAGAGAGTTTACAATCAACTGTGATGCCCCCCCCCCCATTTGTCCACATTCTACAATTCTGCCACAAGGGGTCAGTGCAGCAGCCTGTGACCTGCGTGTGGTCTGGACGGTCGGTCTGTCATCACCACCAACTCTGCCGCAGCCACTGGCCTTCACTTCATCCGACTGATGACCGGCCAAAGTAATCTACCTGCCTTTGAGTTCCCATATTCATCCTGTTTCCACTGACACAAACGCACGCACGCACGTTCACAAAAACACACTGCACACATTGATTTACAGTAGACTGCAGAAGGGATACCATTTATGAAGGACCTCCAGGCTGCACTCTGTTTGTTTGTTTGCATTTGTGATTACGGTTTGGCAGCCATCGGTCTCCTCTCTCATGTCTCATCCACAGCGCCAAAGTCAAAATAGAGTTTTATGTACTTCTTTATTTGGAGCTATCCTGTAAAAACAAGAACAAGATCCGGGCACTTTTGATTCAGGGCTTGCGGAGGGAATCAAGCGCTTGACGTTTAAGTCAACCCAATGCCTCATTCATTAGAGAGAGACGCCTTTGTCTGCTTTCGTAGCTGCTTCTATTGAGGCTTTTAATGGAGAATAACTAAACCTGCCAAAGTGGAGGCAGTGGAGGTGAAAGAAAATCTATTTTGTCCCAGGGAAAATGTTGTTGGTGCACTGAGTTGATGGCAAAGCCCTCCATGTTCCAGTATTTTAACTACTTCCTCATGTGTTTCCTACTTTTTTACTGCATCCTCATCCCATTTCTTTCAGTGTGGCTACCCCCTGTGTACTGTAAAGCCGGTGCTGCGGGACAAAACCCTCCAAACTGTCCCCGAATTCGCCCGTGCCCTCCTGGCCCACCTCCCCCTCCCCTGATGAAAAAGCCATGATGTTTACGGCTCATTTCTCCTGGATGGATTTCAGATTCCTCCCCTTCTTTTTTTTCTGTCTTTGTTTTTTTTTCTCTCTCTCTCTCACTCTCTCTCTCTGTCTGTGAGTGGTTGATGAGGTGAATGAAGTTGGTCAGGGGGGTGGGGTGGGGTGGGGTGGGAGGGTGAGGCGTCTTCATGTGCTGCAATGACAAGTGAAGTGCACAAGTGTGTTTTTGTGTGTGCGAGCAGAAATATTAAATGCTACAGTAGCTCAGAGGTTTCACATATTTAGGTGACTGCTGGACATTATTCACAGTTCACAGCTGCTTTTTCAGGCTCTCTGAGTCGCTGAGCTGTCCTCCAGATCTCGTATAGGTGTTATATCAGTGATTCCCAACTTTCTTTTGGCTTGTGTCTCCTTACAATGAAGGAGTGTCTCTTTGCTACCCCTCATCACAAGTTGCATAGTTGTATGAATTATGGGCAGTGAGTGACAAAGAGTATTTTTCCCCTCTAAACATCTCATATTGTTTCATTTCAATAGCTGCTACAGGCCAAAAGAAGCAGAACTAATCAACATTTTTGAAAGAAAACACCAAAGTTTAGAGAAAAGTCAAGATAAAAAAACATATTTATGGGGCATAGGTTAGCTTTTTCTTTTTTCTGTCATATTCATCATCTTACAATCCCTCATTTATCTTATGACTCCATTTAATGTGAATAATTGTCGCAGGCCAAACGAAGCTAAACAAATCAATTCAACAATTCAATATTTAGCAAGAAAAAAGAGCAAAGTTTAGCAAAAAGTCCAAATAATAAATTGAAAATTGTTTTTTTTTTTCCGTATCCAGTCTTTATGTCACTACCTCTCAACTTCATCTTTTAACCCTGAAGATGGGTCCCTAGCCCAAAGTTGAGAACCATAGTTATAAGATATCTTGATTGGTTTTCTAATGGGGGAAGCTCCCACCACCCACATATTGATGGATTTCTTCTATCATAAATTTTGGAGAATTATCCATCATCCCTCATGATATATGACCAGCTCCATATCCTGTGTAATTGTCTGATTTTTTTTTCTACTCAGAGAAGGTCAGCATGCAGAAACACAGGATATAAATATCTCACTGCTGACCACAGCAAGAAACAACTTCTTACAGTGGAAACAGCCACACTGCACTGTGCTACTATTGCGTTATTCTTAGTCTTTTTTTTTGTTTTATTAAGATAAAGTTAACCACAATGGGACTATTCAAATTATTTCCCTCTTCTTCAGGCCTGTTTTACTGTCCTGCAGTCGCTATATATTAAAAAAACACCTATTATGAATCAGAGTTGAAAATGTTACATTGCATTGAAAACATATAGAAAACAAGATGATATGATTTAACGAGAAGCCAGTCTGCTGTTTGAACCCTGTAGTGTCCATTAACACAGTGAATGACCACGTGCAGCTCATCGTCAACCGAGGGTTTACCAACCAAATGTAGCTTTTGGTTGAAACTAACCCCCTCATCACAACCTCCAGCCCTGCCCCGAGCTAACACGTCTCACTGCAGAAGGAATTAGCTAATAACCCTCAAACAAACTTCCGGTAAAGGCCCCTTTACATTTGATGATTAACAGAAGAATAATCAGCATCTGTTTTGATAATTGATTCATCGTTTCAGTCATTTCAATATTTTCGGATATTTTTTCATAGACTAAGGGATTCATTGAACAAAATAAGCAGAAGATTAAACAGTGAAGAAAAATAACTGTTAGTTATGCCTCGCTGCTGCTGTACCCTGCCTCTTTCTCTCCTCCTTCCCTCCACCCTTGTCGCCAAAGTCAGGCGAAGGTCAGGTTGATTTAGAGGTTTTTCAAAGAACATGAGGTCTGTTGTGTTTTTCTAACCCTCAGTCCCCCTTCCCCTTTCGAGCTTAAACCCCAGTGTTTCATAGCGGTCTCCCGGACGAGGAGTATCCCTCCATCCTCGGGGCAATGCATGGTAGACTACTGTTGTCTTTTCATCACAGTGTAAGCTGGTTAATCTAGCGGCCTCATTTATTTAGACAAGGGATCTACAGGGGTTTGCCCAGTGGACGCTGCTGCCAGCTCCACTGTGGTTAGCGAACTCTGGCTCCTGCTCACAAGGCAACAACGCACAGATGGTCCCGCTGCATTTCACACCCTCACCATGAAGAGAACGGCTGCCACATCGAGCCAACACATCCAGCTATCCCACCATTTTCTCATCTTTGTTATTTGCTGCGTTACTAGTTCATATAACGTTCAAAGAAAACAATTTGCGCTGTTGTTAAAACTTGAACGTTGGCCTTCATCTTTGATTTTCAAGCTATCAGACACGAGACAGGATCCCTCATTATAATAGCACCTGACATGCATTGTGGTGTCTCTTCTCTGTGGACGGCTGTGGCAGTCAAGATGTAGATAGCGGACGAGGGGAAGTTGATGGTCCATTGATGCTTTGGAGCTGAGATTACATCAATTTCACCTTAATCCAAAAGCTCGGTTTGGAGACGTTTTTGGAGATCCGGTCGGCATCGGTTTCACATAGTTTCAAGTTTAAACGGGACTGTTATTGGCCAAAACAGGAATATTGCATCCAAGGTTTAATTTAAATGAATAGGATCTAAGGTTGGATTACAAATTATTCCCATCCGGTTCAGTTCATTTCAGTTTAGATCTTTATTGACACACATGAGGAAATTCTTCTGTCCAAGGATACACCAGACCTTATCCAAATATTTACTATAAAGTCTCCTCCATACAGAAAAATTGGTCACTTTTATCTTGAACATAGGAGACAGCAGGTTAAAGGTAGGTTCAGTAAGGAGTTTTTCAAAAGTCCACCTCAATATGGAGTCAATATTGTGGAGTCATCTCATAGTCAGTGTGATTTAACAGAGATGAGATGAGATTTTTTTTTTTTTTGCAGAGCAATGACGTTACACCTGTCAAAATCCATCTGAACACAGATTTTGTGGTCCAAACAATTCCACTTTGATATCAATGACCCCTTAAATTAATTTCAAATCAGTTTTCAGCTCTGTTTGAACTGTCTGTTTGGGGCCAATGACTCAACCTCTCCTGTCTCCTCTACTACACTTCAGCGGTGAAAGAGTTCACAGATACCAGTCTGCCACTGAAGCAGCTACAGCAAGGATAGAGGGAGGGGAGGAGGCTGGCACTGAGTTGCTGGAGGATGATTATAACCGGGCAGATGCCTCCTCCTGTCTGTCTCCTGCCGCCCATCACCCTAACCAGCCCTGATGGCCAAAACGCTGGACTTCCGCGGTCGGGGCTGTGGCGGCTGGACAATCAGCTCTGCACAGCAGCCTGAGGTAGGGTCAGTAATGGCTGTCTCCTGTTATTCTAACCATTAACATAATGGCAACATTAGTTCCAGGGCCACGCTTCCCTGCTCCTAGGGAACCATTGTTTAATGGCACCAGCCAGAGCTGCTTTTTAAGACTCCTCCACCGGCCACAGACGCTTTGAAGACACTCAGAGGAGCAGAGGCGGAAAACAGACTGGCTATTCATAATGTCAGCACAGGTTGTGTTTTTTATTTTTCAAAGTGCTGATCCACATGTTAAACTTTGGAAATTGTTTGAATTGTGACAAATTACATAATAACTTCCTTGTAATTATGAGTTTGTCTGTTATAATCTCTTCCTTTTTTGTGTCTGTGTCCTGCCATGTGTTCTTTAAGCTAAATCCCCAAGTGTTCAGCTGATTTCTCACATGAGAGAGCATTTATCTCATTGTTTTCATACTGGAAAAGCTTTGGAGCACAGGGGGAAATCTGCTACAATCTTTTAAGATCAGATTCTAACGCCAAGATTTACACTTCAAATTTTCTTACACTTCAAACAATAACAAAGTAACACTAGTGTCAATTTAAGCTTTTCTTAAGATTATCTTTTAAACAACATCAAAATTTAGATCAAAATCTGGGTAAAAAATGAAGCTTTAAGTTTAATCAGACAAAATCTTCAACCTGTTCCCTGGACAGAAATCTGTGGATTCATGGGAGGAATTAAACATGAACTAAATATTCACAAAGCCGTTTCGACAGGTGGAATACACGCTGCCATCCTGCAGACAGTGGCTGAACTCACCTTGCCACAGCAGCCAGGCTCCCCTCAACAGGTGACAGAAACGTCCGTTTGACATGTTTCCTGCTTCCGCACACTTCATTCACGCGCTCTGCTCTGAAAACAAACTTTGATCCCTGGGAAATCCGAGAAACAGAGAGGCTCCTGTCAACAAGAGACGATCAGGTGGGATATCACCATGACAGGAGTGCATATATAATATGTCCAGTTATCCCTCAGATGAAACTCTGGTCTCCTGTTCAGGCAGCAGGGACTTTTTTTTTCTTCTTCTTCTCTTCTTCTCTTTCTACCTCCACCTCTTGGCTTCCATGGTCTGATAAGAAAGTCCTCAGTTGGAACCGCTCGCCTCATGCAACTTCTCCACACTGGTGCTTCCCTTCAGTTGGCGAGAGGGAGAGTAAATGCTCTCTCTCTCTCTCTCTCTCTCTCTGTCTCTGCCTTTCTCCACCCCACCCCCCCACCTCTCTCTCAATCACACACTGCTGGGTCACTACTGTGCAGCACTGTGGATCTGTTCCACTCGATGCATGTGCAGCATGTGTGTGTGTGTGCGTGTGTGTGTGTGCATGTGCATGAGAGCAGAGAGTATTTTGTGTGTGTGTGTGTTCAGTCCTGTCTGGCTCTTATAGTTGTGAGCTGAGAGGAGGGAGTTGAGAGAGAGAGAGAGAGCAAGATGGAGGGAGGGCAGAGATGGAGAAAGTTTTAGAGTGTGTGTGTGTGTGTGTTTTTTTGGGCATGTGTGTGGAGGAGGGGGTTTGAGCCTCAAACTTCCTAAAGTGAAGGCTCTGGGGAGCTTTTAGAGCAAGGTGCAAAAGGGCAGCGGTGGATAGGAGTTAACACTGCAGCCACTAAATAAAACTTTTCCTGACTGACCGTACCCTTGCATGTTGACAGGTTTGTTTTTAATTGGTCCAGTTGTGAGATATTTGTCTCTGAGATTTCTGCCTCCACCCCGACATAATGGACTTGAATGAAATTAAAATACAAAATAACAACCACAAATCTGGGTGCACACAGTGGCTAATCCAAGTAAAATAAGTAGAACCAATAAAATAAGAGAAAAAAAAAGAACAAAAAGGAGGCACATAGTATAAATAAAATACCACATAATTACAACATTAATGAGACCAAATCTCATAAAACTTCCCTTGGTAATTTGAACCAATCAGCAAAAACAGTCTTTTTCTGACTGAGAACAATGATTTTCTTTTTTTCAAGCTTGTAGTCTTCAGACTTCATACAGCTCCCTCCAGAGCCACAAAAGGCTTTATACAACTTTTCACATATGCAGTAAAACTCCCCACGACCTGTAAACACACTTTGATGTGTGAATTTGGAGGAGTTCCCTTTTAATTATCCCTCCTGTCCATGCTGACTATGATGATATTTCAATGAAAGCCACGTGGGGCAAAATCTACAGCCCTCACTTTGACAATTTAGACAATTCAAGTGGGTGTTTTCCAAAGATACAATCGTTTTAGTACCAAATTCCCTGTTTGTGTTACAACCACAGCCAGCACGGGCAGTCAAATGGAAATATTTTCTGTCTTGTGCATCACTTCTTACACATTTCCACCAAAAATTCAGCATGACTTATTGGGCCCTTGGAAACTTTGGGATCTTCTCTAGATTTTAAAATAAACTTCTCTTGGAGTGAACGATACTTGGATGCACAGCATGAGTTTGTATTGGGACTGAAGAAGCTAAAAAGAGTCAACAGCAACATGTCTAAATGTCCCAGATTCTCTGAATAATACACAGACCTCACTGTGAACAGTTTTCTTTGGATTTAAATTCTACTAAAGAAATAGTCCCAGTGAAATCTCTTCACAGTCAGATCTGTGGCTTATTGAGAGTAATGGGAACCCTGTTTCTTGGAAGAGATGTTACTATTGAATTTTTAAACATATTTTATTTTTAATGCACCAAGCAGCACAAACGAAATTCCATTTGCCTACATTTTACTGGGGTGGATGCTAAAATCTCATAGATGGATATTTCAAAAATGTTGCACATAAAATCAAAACTATCTACATGTTTCTCTCTCACTACAGGTGAGTGGTAAAGCTTGTGTCAAGTAATTTGGGTAAACTGACCTTTTAAACTGAAAAGAAATTCAGCATCAAGAAACATCTAACAGCTGCACACACACACAGTTTGCACAAACCCCATATCACACCCCATTAGAAAGACACATGAACACACAAACGCTCCAGTCACACTGATTCATAGGCTCCGCGTACACATGTGGTCCGACGGAGCTGTTGACACTGTTGACCACTGCAGAGGTAAAGAAGGGTTTCAAAGTGCCTGCCAAGTGAGAGTTGGCAGCACATCTAGGACGGGTGGGCTGACCAGAGCCCTGGCACACGGTCAGGGGTGCGTACACACCCGACACCATTACACACACACACACACACACACACACACACACACACACACACACACACACACACACACACACACACACACAGCCAATGACCAATGAAATTGGGCTGAGTAGTTTTACCAGGAGTGCAGTGTTTTATATGGCAGATTTGTAATGCATCATCTTGCTAACATTAACATTTCTCTGCCAATTGTCGGACCGCCTGAATCTGTTCCTCCTGCTGAACCGTACGTTCAAAGCACTGGCCCAGAGTTTCTCACTGCTTTTATGCCACATTCTCAAGGTCATGAAGCTCTACATGGGCGAGTATTAAAGGATAATTCTACAATCTGGGTCTTATTTTTGTAGTTTTTGTAGCCATTGTTCCTATTTATAATAATAACACTGTGCTCCCCGAGTTCAGTGAGCAGTCAGACCATGTGAGAATATCATCCAAAGTTCTGACCAAAACAGTTCACAAACTGACCTCCTGCTTAAATGCAGGCACGACATATCTGTTATAGTCATGGACATGCACAGTTTTTCTGTGCTAAGAGGGGTTCTTACAAAATTCCTGTGTGCTCACCTTCGGTTTCACCTCTGAAGGAAGCGGTTTCGGCCAGTGGTTACCAACGTGGGTGACTTACGGATGGGCCAAGTGTACCACAACATACAGCATCATACAACCAACCATGTCTCCAACGAACTATGTTTAGTTTTAATAATGTAATTTAACAATGTTTTTTTTTTTTTTTATTACATTATGGTAAGAAATGTTACTGCTGCCTGCATTTTGTTCAAAGGCAACATTTCTACAAGTTAAGGAAACACTACATGTACCACACAGAAATTGTAGGGAGAGGGTCGCTGTGGGTGGTTGTTGGGTGGATGATTGGAATATAAAAGTGCCAGACTTTGACATCAAAGTCCTGGGTTTTCATCCTGAGTCGTGGTTTTGTATTGAACCAAGAATCACAATGTTAACCTAAACGTGACCAAGTGCTGTGAGTGAACACTTTACTGATGCGTTCAGTATCAACATTTTGTGACTCGCTATATTCGTTAATTAACAACTTATTATCTTTACTCATTATGTTCATACAAAACCTAACTATTTGGCCTTATGTCTCCTTTAAAATGTAATTGCTGTTGCACATCAGGAATATATAAATGCAATTCTTGGAAAACTTGGAAATATTTACTTAATTTTAGTACAACACTTGAGTTCTCTCGGTGCACAGCAGTCAGAAAAAGCAACCAACAGAGCAAAAGATGTAAAGATTTTAAAGAAAAAGTTAAAGGTGTACCTTGGTTTAAAGTTTTAATGTTTGGGATCCTCTGGTTAGGATAATTAGGCTTAACTGTTTGTTTACAACCTGTCTGATTGCCCTACTTCTCATGTCTCTCGCTGTGTCTCTCCCTCTTTGGCTACTCCCCCTTGGACAGTCCCGTGCTCGCTGCCCAGTCGTCACAGCTACTACTTCAGGAGAGCCTAATCTGATTGTTGATCAGTGCCTCTGGCTAAGTGCTAACTTGCTGTGACAGACCCCACAGAGAGCGAAGAGGAGGGAGGACAGATGCCGCTGATCTCTGATCCCAGATCTGACAGCTGGCTCCCTCAGGAGGACACTGCCTGGGGTTTCAGCGGCTTTGATCCACTCAGGGTCCTCTCAGGAATGCACACACCCACACACAGACACACATACAAAGTACTGCACTCTGATGTTTATGTAAATGCATGCATACACAATTTTTTAATCTCACCCTCACTCCCGTTTTTCCTTTTCCTGTCTCTAATACACACACACACACACACACACACACACACTCACACACACACACACACACACACACACACTCACACACACACACACACACACACACACACTCACACACACACACACACACACACACACACAAACACACACAGACACACACACTCCCACACAAACTACTGGGCCCGGCCTGCTGGCACACACATATAGGAGCTGGCATGAGTTGCCTAAGAACACACAGTCGACGCTATTTTATAATCAAATAATTTCTCAATCCTGTAACTAATACCCCTCCGCCAAGCACGAGCTATCAACTGTGGTGGGCTATGTGTGTGGTGTGTGTTTGCTTAGGCACATATCCTACACGTTGACACACACACACACAAACACACACAGACATAGACAGACACACACACACACACACACACACACACACACTTGAATAATCACATACACGTACACACGGGCTGTATATTCACACAGAACTTTAGACTGGGTTCATTCATACTGGTCATTTTGTGTTCTGGATGTTTGGACCGTGGCCCTTTATCAGGTCCCTCTACGAGCTAGTGGCGCCCCCCGTAGGACTGAGAGTCAATGAGCATCAAAGCATCTGAGCAGAAGACAACAAAGAAGAGAATAAAACAGAAATTAAGTGACAAGAGAAAAGAACATAGATTAAACAACTAACTACTGGTTTTGGGTGAACTTGCAGGTCCTCCGGAGCCACGTTGTTGTATTTTAAACTGGATATCTGAGTTTTTTCCACAGGAAAAGCTGCTTGTCTTACTTTTTTTTTAAAACAGCTGTGTGAAAATGGAAGTCAGAAATGTTCCTGCTAATCTAATTGATGGAAACATGGTAACACCAACATACTGTCAGGGGAACAAGACCTTTAAAAATCCATCAGCATGTGCTGTTGTAATGTCAGCTACAGGTACAGTTTGTTGACAAGTCTGTGGTTCTATTCATCAAGTGGGAGATATCACATATCATTCATATCTCCAACTCTGAGTTTACAGTTGGAGGCTGACATAAACAATTTTACCTACTTATTACTTTTTCCACAACATTGTTAACAAACCACAAACTATGAGCCATATTTTCTTCTTTTTTGTCATGTGGTGGGCGGGTGGTCAGCAGGTGTACCCTCAGATTCTGATACAACTCTCCCATCCAGCACATTTAAAAAATGCAACAGAGGAGTG